GACCTGAGCTTTGGCAGGAGACTATGGGACCCGTGGATGGCTGGGAAACCTGTGCTGGGCTGTGGTACCTGCTCCAGGGAGTAGCACCAGCCAAACTGCAAATAAGTGTGACCCCTCCCTACTACCTGCTATTGAGCTCTCCAGCTCTCCAGAAAGGTGCTCTTCAAACAAAGGATTTAGATTGGACTTGCTGATACCGATTGTCTCTCAGACCCCTGGGTCCCAAGAGAATGGCAGTGATTAGCCAATGGGATGAGCTGCTAAAATGTCTTTACTAGCAGGGCAAGTGGGGAAGAGGTAGTGTGCTTTCTGGTCCACCTGAGTCTGAAGGGTTTTTTAAAAAAAATTTTAGGGGCACTTAGGTGGCTTAGTTGGTTAAGCACCTGAATTCTTGTTTGGGCTCATCAGTGATCTCATGGAATTGTGATCTCATGGGGTCTCAAGATTGAGCACTCAGCAGGGGATCTACTTGGGGATTCTCTCTCTGCCCCTCCCCTCACTCTCTCTCTCCCCTTCTCTCCAATGAGTAAATCTTTTAAAAAAACAATAAAAAAAACCAACCTACTTTTTAAAGATTGTGGCACAATGCATAATATATGTTTATCATCTTAACTATTCTTTAGTGTGTAGTTCAATGTCATTAACTATATTCACATTGTTGTATAACCATTCCAAACTGAAACTCTGTACCCACTAAAATAACAACCCACTGCCACACTCCCTAGGCCCTAGCAACCACCATCCTACTTTTTATCTCTGTGAATTTGACTATTTCAGGTACCTCATATAAGAGGGATCATGCAATATTTGTCCTTTCGTGATAGGCTGATTTCACCTAGCACAATGTCCTCAAGGGTGACCCATACCGTACCATGTAGTCCTGATTACTTTTATCCTGCTATTTTCCACTCCATCTATGTGACTTCTATCAGCGTCATGCATTCTACTTCCCACTATAGTGTCAAACGTGGATTTTGTTTCTATGCTGATAAGATACTTTACATGATTTCTTAATTCTGCCAGTTCAATTCTCTTCTCTAGCTCTGATCACTTACAGCTCTTCTTAAAAAAAAAAAAAAGGTTTTATTTATTTATTTATTTATTTATTTATTTATTTATTTATTTATAGAGCATGAGAGAGAGTGCATACACACAGGGTGTGGGTGGTGGCAAGGAGCAGAGGGAAAGACAAGAAAACTCAGCATAAAGCACAGAGCCAGATGCGGGGCTCAACCACACAACCCTGAGATCATGATCTGAACTGAAATCAAGAGTCAGCCACTTTAGCCAACTGAGCCACCCAGTGCCCCTTTACTTACATCTCTTCTTTAATCAAAGAAACTATGTTTTCCTTATTTCTTTGAAAAGGTTAGACTGAAAGAGTTTCTTAGAGCAATTCTTCTTCCAAAATATTCTTCCTCTGTCCGTTGCTTGTCATGCCTCTTTTTCCTTTTTTTTTTTAATTTATTATCTTGGCTTATATCTCCTATTGGATCCTTTCTGCTTGCCATTCCTCTTTGAATAGGGGTAGTTCTATTTGAGGCTGAGGGTGAATCCTTTACTCAACCCTCTGTTTACCTTGGCTTTCTTCCACCGTTCACTTAAATGTAAACTGGCTAGCTAGATATTATCATTGATTTGCAATCTCTGTTTAGTCCTTTGGCTGCTTTGGTGAATTAGAGGGGTATGACCTGGATTAGTAGGCAACTGAGTGTCTCAGTTTGGTTCTGTTGCCTCAGAACACTTTTCACACATAATCTGAGGAACTGTCTGGGGGGCATGTGGAAATCCATGGGAGGAAGTCTCCCTGAGATTTGAGCTATTTCCTTTCCTTTTCACAGACAAATAGGTCATTCTGGTTGCAAGCTGGGCCCTTATCTTGCTTTGTTGGGTTTGGGTTTGATGGCTCATATTTTGTTTATCTCTGCTCAAATAACATCAGTCCACAGTTGCACAGCTGACTTACATTGTTTTTCCTTTCCTTTATGAAGGGTTGGTTAAACAGATTCACTAAAATCTGTTTAGCCTGAGATTCAGAGAGGCAAATGTTAGCTCTGGGCATCATTCTTCAGGTGGCCTCAATTTTATTGCATCTGACAATGTGGTATATTGATTTTTAGGGTGGACTCTGGGGTCAGAGTGCTTGAGTTCAAATATTGGTTCTGCCACCCATTATCTGATGACCGTGAGCAATTGATTTAACATCTCTCGGCTACAATTTCCTATCTTTGAAATGCAGCTAATAGTAGTACCTATTTCATAAGGTTGATAAGAGGCTTAAATGAGTTAATACAAATAAAAGGACTTAGAGCAAAACCTGGCATAAAGTATGTGCCCAATTAGCCACTGTTACTATAGCTCCTGTAGTCCAAGTGAGGGAGTAAATGTTCATTTTCTCCACCATATTTACAAGAAATTCTTGAGGGTTAAATTCATTAATGCCTGGGAAGCCCATAGCGTGGTGCTCAATACATAATAGGCCCTCAAAACATGTGTCAAATGTTAAATAATGAGTATGGAGAAAGGGGGGAGACAGTGTGGGAGGAAGGTAGGTGAAAGACACTACTCAGAAGTTTGTGCTCTGCCCTAAGACTTTAGAATATTGCCCCCTTTCCAGCCATTCAAACATTCACTGAGCACCTTCAGATGCTAGCCACCAGCTAATCAAAGAGAAGTAAGATCCCTCCAGGGTTAGGGTTCTCCCAACACATCCTTACTCACTTGTATTATAAATAATGAAAGCTAATTGTATTAAGCAAAAGCCTGGTGTTCTTACACTTTAACCCATTCCCTAAACTCAGCAGTATTGATACAATTCTAGCTATGGAGAAGGACAAAGGCACAGACACAACCTTGGATAATCTCAAATTAAACAATTTGGCTTTATGATGGCCTGAAGTGTTAACTTCTTATAATTTACAAGAAATCCCCCCAAAATGTGACATTTGTGGCATGCCAGTCACTCTTGCCAAGACAGGTTTGCGCACTTCACAGGAGCCACGTTTTCTGCCTTGTCTACATCTCTTGCTTTTAAAGGTTCAAACAAGACCGTGGACTTGGATGCCCTCTATGTATTCTGGGTGCTGTCACACACACATAAGGGGCCCTCTGGCTGATAACCAGCATAAGGATTTGGAGAATTTCATCAAACTCACCCACAGGAAATACATCTAAATTTTCAAAGTCATAGGTGACTATTTTCTTCATTACTCACTCTGAATCCATGATCTTCCAGCCAGTCAAGACTAGGTTCTCCAATAAATGACAGAAAACCCAAAATAGCACTGGCTTAAGGAAGCTAAAAATGTGTTTCTTCTCTCAAGCAGAAATATAGGTAGGCAGTCCAGGACTGCTTCATCAGAGACTCACTTCTTTTATCTTGTTGCCATTGTCATCATGTGACTACCTCCTGGTTCAACATGGCTGCTTCAACTTGAGCCATTCCATCTTCATTCCAGCCAGCAGGAAGGAGAAAAGAGTAGGCCGTGCCCCTCCCATTAAAGACACTTCCTAGAAATGGAACAAAACATTGCTATCTACATCCCAGAATGCAGTCGCCTGGTCACACTCAGATGGAAGGGAGGCTTGCACACACAGCCTTTATTCCATGTGTCTTGGTTAAAAAATTCAGAGGCTCTATTATTGAAGACAAAGTGAATATGGAAGAACAAGCAGTCTCTGCCAGTCTCTTATCTCTGCTGCTGTCCATAAGTGGACTCTTTTGTCCTCTCTGAAGACCAGCTTTTCTGTTCACACTTTCTGACCCCTCCCACTTTCCACTTCCACTTGCATAAGACTACAGGTGGCCACAGTCAGCTTTTTGCCTAACTCCACAAGTCTTTTCAGTTTCAAAGCTGCAAGTGGTCTAGCCACCGCCACCTCCCCGTTTCAATTCCAAATTCTGGAGAGAAAATTTGATTGGTTCTGCTTGGATCAGGTGATCACTTTCTCAACTCTGAGCCAATCATCTGTGGCCTGGACCGTGGCAGGGTTCTTACTTTTAGGATGGGATGGAGCAAGTTCTCTTAGAGGTGTAAGTGATGACCATCTCTTGTAAATCTTCCTTCTGAGCTCACTCTTTTTTTTTTTTAATTTTTATTTATTTATGATAGTCACACACACAGAGAGAGAGAGAGAGGCAGAGACACAGGCAGAGGGAGAATCAGGCTCCACGCACCGGGAGCCCGACGTGGGATTCGATCCCGGGTCTCCAGGATCGCGCCCTGGGCCAAAGGCAGGCGCCAAACCGCTGTGCCACCCAGGGATCCCTGAGCTCACTCTTATCATAACACCCAGCCTGCTGGATGTGTTGCTGGGTTTGCTTGCCTTTAGGGCAGGGATGTGTTTGTTTATATCTTATCCCCAGGGCTTCACAATTACCTGGCATGCTTAATATTTGTTGTAGAATAAATAATTCAATCTAGTCCTTAATTTTACAGAGATTGAATGCTTGCTCAAATTTACACAGTAGAACAGTGTTAGGGGCAGCAGTCCTGACTCACAGTCTCTAAAATAGTTTCCTAGAATTACCCTGCATGACATGGCTTGTGTGCCCCATTGTTCAGCATTTGTTTCAACTTCCCTGCCAACGGCTCCAGAGAATCTCCCCCAGATGTGGTCCAAGAGAGCCTCAGGAGGACATCGCCTGCACCACAGAATCCATTTCCAATCTTAGCCTTCCTGTCAACATCAGTGTCTCCCCACATGTGCAAGCTGGGCCTCTTTGAAGAGATTCCATCCTGACTGGGCCTTGACCAAAGTTAGGCTCTGGGTGCAGGGATACTTAAGAAGTAATGAGGCAAAAGTGGGAAATAAGATCTCCATGGCTACCCATCTGAGTTGCTCTCAGAGGAGGAAGGCCCCGCCATTGGAAAGAGCTGATGTCTCCTCTTCCACCATTCTCCTGCACCTCAGCCCTTTCCTGACCTTTCCTCCTGCCTCCTCCCTGTTCCCTCATGCCTGCCTCACTGCCTGTTCTCTCATGCTACTTGTCTCTATAGGCCTCGAACCCTCTGTGGCAATCCCGGGGCTCCACCACCGTGTCTTCAGGAGGCCGTTTCCGCTGCCCATCTTGCAGGCATGAGGTTGTCCTGGACAGACATGGTGTGTATGGCCTGCAGCGAAACCTGCTAGTAGAGAACATTATCGACATTTACAAGCAAGAGTCTTCCCGGTGAGCTGTCGGGACCTCTTGTCTCTCTAAGGAGCAGGGCCTGGGACACAGAGGGGGAACTCATCAGCCAAAAGGGAAGGGCTGAAATGACCAGCCTGTTTCTTTAGTTTAGAGATAAGAGCGCTGGACCCTAGGAGGGGGAAGGACTTGCCCCAGGTCACCCAGCTCAGGTGTCTCTGATCCTGGTCATGCTTCCTTTGCACCCTCTCCAGCTGGGGAGTGGCTGGTGGTCCACCAGCAAAGTCCTTGCCAGCCCTCTGTGACATCCTGCCCTGTGAGACTTCCTTGCCCCCTGGAATAGAGGCTGTTCTCGAATCTAGCTCTTTGTATTCCTCTAATGAAGAGCACTATGGAAGTCACTCACCTGCTCAGCCCCAGCCCCAGCTGTGACTGGTAGCTGGCAAAGGCTGAAGAGAAGGTATTCCTGGGGCCCCACAATCATAGGACCCACCTCTCTCCAGCCTGGCCCCTGACCCTTCTGCCACCCTGCCCGCTCCCCTCCAGGCCACTGCACTCCAAGGCTGAGCAGCACCTCATGTGTGAGGAGCATGAAGAGGAGAAGATCAATATCTACTGCCTGAGCTGTGAAGTGCCCACCTGCTCTCTCTGTAAGGTCTTCGGTGCCCACAAGGACTGTGAGGTGGCCCCACTGCCCACCATTTACAAACGTCAGAAGGTATCAAGCAGTGGAGGGAGCAGGCATGGTGGGGCTGGGGACAGTGAACAGGGTCTCCAACTTCAGCCTCTCATTCCACTTGGTTTTAAAGGCTGGCAGATCAGGGCTACATTCCCAGCCCTATGCATGACTCAGTGTGACCTTAGGTAAGTCACTCGACCTCTCTGACCCTGACTTTCCTCACTTATAAAATGAGGGTGAAAATGCCAACTTGTAAAGTTATTTTAAGGATACAATTAGATGGATACAAGCAACTTCATTTTGGCAGCCTAGATACTCTCTAGGCCCTCTCACTACCACACAACTACATTTGACATAAAACATAATTTTAAAACTATATCAGTGGGGCACCCGTGTGGCTCAGTCAGTTGAGCATCTGACTCTTGATTTCAAATCAGGTCATGATTTCAGGGTTGTGAGATCAAGCTGCATGTTGGGCTCCATGCTCTACTTTGAGATCCTCTCCCTCTGCCCCTCCCCCTAGTCTCTCTCTCTCTCATGAACAATATTAATCTTTTAAAAAAGGGAAATAAAAATTATATCAGAGGACAAATGTTGGCAGTATTCCTGAGCTAGACAGCTGAGACTATGCCTCCAGACTCCTGAAAGGTGGACACCTGAACTGAAGACCTCCACAAATCTTGGGTTAAACTGGAATCTCAGGAACTAAGGTAGTCAGATGTGCCACCGGCTTTTGACAAAAGCAAATGCAGAATCTGCATGGAGGAAACCCACCCAATTTAGGCTCTTGGGGTTTCCTTAGATTAAGAACAACAAAATATTAATTCAAAAGTGAAGATACAGAAAGAAGTGTACCTGAGTGAAGTCAGTAGAAACCAAAATTAGAGATTAGACCTCTGAGGAATTCAGATATTGAAAATATTAAAGAATTGGGAATTACTGTGCATAAAATGCTTTCTTAAAAGGATGGAATAAAACCTTAGCAATAATAGATTGCCAAACATGCAGATTTAACAAAGAGCCAAATAGAGCTTTTAAAAATGAAAATGTGATTGTTGAAATAAGACATCCAAAGGGTAAATTAAATGACAGATTCCTCTGAAGAAAGAATTAGCAAACAGGAAGGCAGGCCTGAAAAAGTAGCCTAGGATGCAGCACTGGGAGATGAGAAGGATGAGCACATATGTCTCCTCAGAGTCACAGAATGAGCAAATAAAGAGAATGGAGATGATGTAATAGTATCCTAAGGAATAATTACAAAGAATTTTTCTGAATTGATGGAAGGCATGGATCTACAGATGAAGCATTTAGCCCAGGGCCTGGCAATTGGTGGATATTTGGCAAATGTCTGTCCCTTTCTCATTTGTTGATGGAGGCCCTCCTCTTTCCATCTCCTTCCAGAATCCACAAATGTGCTTTCACACTTCTTGGACAGTACCAAGCCACTAGATCTCTGGAATAGCTACACTGCTGGTGGAGTGGAGGGGCAGTCCTCTCCTAGGCAGCCCTGGCTGGGGTGGGAGGGGTACAGCTCTAGACAGGGTCCTCCAGCTCTAAGTGCTGGCCTGTGTGTGTGGCAGAGCGAGCTCAGTGATGGCATCGCAATGCTGGTGGCGGGCAACGACCGTGTGCAAGCAGTGATCACACAGATGGAGGAAGTGTGCCAGACCATCGAGGTGAGTCTGGGTTGGGAGAGAGGGTAAATTTCTGGGTTCCTGGTGGAGGAGGGAATCACAATTAGTGGGATATGCTTAGCCAAGCTACTAGGTTTGAGTTCCCAGGCTAGCTCCGTGACTTTGGTCCAGTTACTTCACTTCTCTATGCTTTGTTTTAAACATATAAAATAATGATAATGAGAATAATATGATGGCTACCTCACTGGATATTTTTGAGAATTAAATGAGATAATATAAGTAAAAACTAGGACCAGAGATACTTCTGAACTCCTTTAAAATATTGTATTTGCTAAAGAGAGAAAATCTCAAGTTTTCACAAGAAAAAAATTGTAACTATATGTAATGATAGATAACTAAACTTGTGATCATTTCACAATATGTACAAATATGATCATTTCACAATATGTACATTTCACTACATTGTACATCTGAAACTAATATAATGCTAAAAGTCAATTATATCCTAATTTTTAAAAATCTTGTAATTAGTATTACTGAAAAGACCTGGGTTATCAGCAGCCCGTGGCTATGGGTGGGGTACTTTCCTTCCTGTCTGTGCCGCCTGTTTACTGGGGAGTGGGACAAGTAGGTGCCTGCTCTCCCAGCTAGAAATCTTATCCTTGCTCCGCTCTTTCAGGACAACAGCCGGAGGCAGAAGCAGCTGCTTAACCAGAGGTTCGAGGCCCTGTGCTCCGTGCTGGAGGAGCGCAAGGCCGAGCTGCTGCAGGCGCTGGCCCGCGAGCAGGAGGAGAAGCTGCAGCGCGTCCGGGGCCTCATCCGCCAGTATGGAGACCACCTAGAAGCCTCCTCTAAGCTCGTGGAGTCCGCCATCCAGTCCATGGAGGAGCCACAGATGGCGCTGTACCTCCAGGTGGGCGCTGGAGGAGGGAGGGAGGCCGCAGAGTGGCGGCAGTGGGGGCCTTGGCACCAGGAGGGCTGGGCTCCAGTCTTACCTCTGGCACCCACCTGCCCCACGGCCTCGGGCAAGTCACCCCGTCTGAGTCTGTTTTCTCCTCAACGACCCGGGATAGGCATCCGCGCCTACCCGGCAGGACTGTGGGCGCCAGCAATGGGACTTTGCCAGCGCTTGGCACGGTGCTTACGCTCACCCTCCCTTCTTCCCTGCAGCAGGCCAAGGAGCTGATCAATAAGTGAGTAGGCGGAGCGGGAGAGGCAAAGAAGGGGCTGCCTGGGCTCGGCTGCCCCGCAGAGCGGGTTGAGGGTGCTGCGGCGACTCCAGCTGAGCGGCTGCCGCGCCGCAGGGTCGGGACAATGTCGAAAGTGGAGCTGGCAGGACGGCCAGAACCGGGCTATGAAAGCATGGAGCAGTTCACCGTGAGCGTGGAGCACGTGGCCGAAATGCTGAGGACCATCGACTTCCAGCCCGGTGAGGGAGTGAGGATGGGAGGGGGCGGCGGGCGCTGGGACTGGGCGTCCCGAGGCGACGCGGGGAAGGGGGACGGGGGACGGTGGGGGGGGGGTGCGTCGCGGCCAGAGAAGCAGGGACTCCACCTCACGGGGTCTTCCTGGGGGACAGGCGCTTCCGGGGAGGAAGAGGATGAGGAGGTGGCATTGGACGGGGAAGAGGGCAGCGCAGGGCCGGAGGAAGAGCGGCCGGATGGGCCGGAAGGTGAGTGTGGCCCGAGGGGCCTGGCGGGGCTGGCTCGACGCCCCGGGCCCCTCAGCTGCGAGGCCTCCCTGCGGCACCAGCGATCTTTGGTGGCCTCCCCACCCCCAGCGGGAGGGGCGCCCCCTAGCGCGCGTGCAGAAGTACACTCTCTTTCCCACCAGCCTTTCCTCTGGGGCTTTGGGAGACCAGGTTGGGTCGGGAGGTAGAGGAGAAAGCCACGTGGCTGGGAGAAAAGGGGTGAGCTGGGGTTCGGAGCTGCCTTGTTCCTCTGGAACGCCCGCCCACCGAGCTTTCTTTCCCAGGCACTGGCGGGCACTGAGCTGCTCCCCGCGCACCTGGGGCCTGGCGCTGGGGTCGGGGAGGACCTGCTCAGAGACCGCTGCGCCACCCAGCTCGGCGCCCAGCCGCGGGGGAGGGGCTCAATAAAGGGCTAATGTGTTCAGACCCGCAGCTCACTCTCAGTCTCGGCTTCCGATGACCCCATCACCATCCTGCCCTTCTCCGGATCCGGGCCCATTTGATGTCCCTGCGGGGCATCTCCTTGGTATCAAGCACGGTTTGGCGAGCTCAGTGCCAAGGGAAAAGGGTCGGGGTGGTGCGGCGGCACCAGCACCTGAGTTCTTGGGGGAACGATGGAGATGCGGACCCCGGCTGAAGGCCCTTCTGCCCGAGCCCTCGCCGGCCTGGGAGGTCGCACTTTCCCACGGACTCCCACCCTGCTGTAGTTCCCTGCGCCCCACAACCAAGGCCAAAGGCTCTTCAGCACTTTTATTAAAAACTGGTGACGCACAGAGTGCTCAGGGCATCCCTGGGCCGCTCTAGCCTGGCGGGACTGGGTCAGTTCCAGTCGCGCACGTCCGGGCCCGGGGAGAGGGGACGGGGGTCGAGGTTATCGCGGCTGCAGACGCCGCCGATCACTTGCCCACCGACTCGAATATGATGCGGTTCTGCTCGGCGCGCTCCCGCTGGCTCTGCGTCCGCGCCAGCTCCAGCAGGGTCCGCAGCAGGTGGAAAGTGAGATCAATGGACAGCGGAGGGTCGTCCCGCCTGGGCCGCTCGCCCGCGGTCCGGGATCCCCACCGGCCCGGCCCCGCGCGGCGCGGATAGCGTTCGGCCAGCAGCAAGAGCAGCGCGCGGGCGCCGCCGTCCTGGTTCCGCGCCCCGGGGCTCCAGCGCAGTCTTGGGTCCCGGACCCCGGCCGCCGCCGCCTCCCGGCTCCATTGGCTGCTCCCCGGGCGCAGCTGTGCCAGGAGCAGCAGCGCCATCAGCAGCGCCGCGCGTCCCCTCTGCTTCATGGTGCCGCCGGCCCTGGACAGACAGGGGGAGCGCGCGGTGAGGTGCGTCCCGGGCAGTCGCAAGTGGCGCCACTCCCCTTCCCACGCGCATCCAGCCCCGCGGCCGGGCCCCTGCGGCTGCCGCCTGATGCCCACAGCCTTCCCTCCAGTCCCAGCCGCTGCCCCAGCCCGGTGCCACCCTGTCCTCCCTCTCTCCCTTGACGCGAGTCGTGGTGGGTGAGCTGAGCTCCGTCCTGGTGCTTAAGGAGTCAGGCTGGATGCTCTGAGCCACTCACAGGTTGCTGGAGAGTGTCCACACGCTGCAGGACGGGCTCCAGTCTCTGGCCGTCGGGCGGGCTGAGGGCGCCTTGAGGAACACGGGGTCTGTCCCGGGACCGCCGCCAGCCTTTTATAGCCCCAGGACAGCTCCGACTGACGTCAGCGAGGGACATGTACTGATTGTAGAAGCAGTGACGGCCGCAGCTTGGAGTCCGGCCGCTTGCTTGCGAGACCCAGAGGGGCGCACCTCACAACCCTCCACTCTGGGTCCTGCTGCCAGTGCTGCAAGCGCCCCTGCCTTCAGGGCGGGAGAAGCTGCTGGGGCATTACCATTGCTCTGGGAGCCACGAGAGTCCTTTACCTGCGTAAGACAGCCAGTAGGGACTAGGGCCATCCCCCTTATCAGACCAGTCAGGTGGCCGATGTTCTATGGCACACAGAAGAGAGGCTGGACCTCAGGGCTGTTGGTGGTGATCACTCTGCTCTTGGCCTCTAGAAGGGGCCAGAGGCATTGGGAGAAGGTTGTGCTGCTCAGGCCTAGTCCCTAGTCCTTAGTATCAGTTCTGCAAACTAAGGCAATCCGGAACACAGCTGGCTCCCAGCTCCCACTCTGCTACCATCCCAGAGGCAGCAAGGCAGTGAGGCAGCCCACCTGCCAGGATTCTCGAGCTTATTCCAGCCTCATGGTCTAAATTCTAGGGTGGTCTGGCTGAGGCACCATTTATTTTAAAAAGAGCCTCTGGCCTCTGGGGGCTTTCAGACCACAAAAGGCAGGTCCATCTGCTTCTGAGTTTGCTGCAAAGTAGTGTTTTTACCAAGTTAGTTTTTCTTCTGGGAATCACAGCAGTAGTATTACTGTACCTTTGACCTCCAGTTAAGATCACTTGGTAGGAAGTAAGGGAACCTTAGTCTCTTCATGCTGCTATACCAAAAATACTATCAACTCCGTATTTTATAAACATCATTTATTTCTCACAGTTCTAGAAGCTGGGAGGTCCAAGTCCATGGCACTGGTAGATGTGGTATTCACTAACTTTTCCTTCTTGGTGTGTCCTCACATGGTGGGAAGGGTGAGGGATCTGTCTGGGGCTGCTTTAAAAGGGCACGAATCCGTCATGACCTAATCACCTCCCAGAGGCCCCACTGCCTAATGCCATCACCCTGGGCATTAGGTTTGCAACAGATGAATTCTGGAGGGCATACAAACATTCATCTATAACATGTGCGTTCAAGTTTCCACTCTGCCACTGGTTGGTGGTGTGGACTTGCCATCTCACTTCTGTGGACCTCAGCATGCTCATCCGTGGGAGAACATTGGGATTGGTTGTCTCTAGACTTCTTTCTAGCTCTAGAAGTTCTAACTGCCCCCATAGATTTCTGCAAGTTTCAAACTATGTATTTAATAACAGATTTCCGGAGGCACCATATAAAGTGTTTAGGGCCCCAGAAGAGCCAGAGCTCCAGGTGGGCTGGGAAGGTTATAGAGAGCAGATGTGTCTGTGAAGTGTGGGGACAAGTGGCATTGCTGGGATACAGGTACAAACTACAGCTAACAAGACTGTACACAATTACAGAGTGCCTACTGTGTGGTGGGCATAAGACCATTATAAAGGTTGAAATGATTTCCAAAGGAGTCAGGTGCTAAGCCTGTTAAGTTCTGAGGGGCAACAGGACCCCAGGAAAGCCGATGTGGCCACTTGGAGGAGGCCATCTGGCCGCACTGGAGGTCATGCTGCAGCACAGCAGGCGCCGACACCGGAGTGAGGCCGGCCTAGAGCCGGTGTGCCTTCCATGACAGGTAGGAGTTCCAGATGACAGCAACACACTGGACGACAGCCAGCCTGCGGAACAGAGGTGGCATTGTCAGGACGAAAGAGGAGGAAGAGCAAGCAAAGGGGCAGAGCTGGGAAAGGAGGGCTGGTTTCTGAGCACGTCCACACTGAGGTCTCCTTCCATCAGCCCCGAGGGACAGAGGGACGTGTGGCTCGGGCCAGAGGACAAGCAGGTCGGGGTCAGGTATCATCCCAGAGCTCTGTGTCCTGGACAAGAGCCTACAAGTGGAACACCCTCATGTCGTTGAGCATGGCTCTTATTCGGTCCTGACCAGGCTCCTGCTGCATACACATCTCTGTCTACCTTTGAACCGGCTGAGATTTTTATCTTCCAAAAATGTGCTGCCCGCCATATCCCTCTCTTGATTGTAAATTTTCCTCTCTCTACATTCAGAGAGTGTTGCAAAGACTCTGGTGGATCTGGTCTACAAGTCTTCCTTTAAGCTATGTTATTCACATAATATTGACTCTGTCCCCTCTGAAGAGTGTCTCTGCTCCCAATGTCCCCTCACTCCCAACAATTTTAACTACTCCTCTTGAGTTGCACTGTATTTTTACTGTGGCTTCAGCAACTGCCTTTATTATTAAGGTCAAACAGTAGTCTGCAGTGGACCCACCAGCCCAGGTTCCTACTTGGCTCTTGGGTATACCTTCCTGTCTAAGCTAGGCAACCCCCCCCAATGGCACTGTCCCTGCAGGTATGCCACCAAAGGTGAGGGCTGGGCAGTATGGAGACAGGGAGATGAAAGGTCAGTGGGCAGGTCCTGGGATAGGTTCCATAAAGGAAAAGAAGTTCTGAATAAAATGCTTGAGAGTCTGAGGAGCTCTGACCGGAGCAGTGTTCTGGGAGGGTCTAAAGTGATTCAAGGTTGACAGAAGAATCATGCTGTGTCCAGCTGTTGTGATGTGCATCGCTCAGAGGGTCGAGTAAGGATCTGTCTTACCTGTAATGAAGAGGAACCAGGTAGAAGTTGGCTAACTGCACAGCAGGCCAGAGCTACAAGAGAAGGAGGGTAAAGGTTGGGGGGCTGCCTCCACCACCCGACCCCCAGACTCACTGCCTGGTCCTACTCCACCTTCTGCAGACAAGAACAAAGTGGACCACTGGGTGAGTGCTTCCCTGGTGTGATGCCCACATGGGATGAGAGAGTCATCCTGTCTGAGGGATTTCTACATCAGGAGGGCCCTGTCCCCGAGCACTTCTGGACCCAAGAAAGCAGGAGAACGGGCAGCTGCGGTGTCAGCGCTTACATAGTAGTTGGTGAGGAGGGCATCAGGATAGTCCTGAGGAGACAGAGAGGAAAAGCTGACACGTGCACTTACTGCCACGCAGCCCCCACCTCCTGCCTGCAGAGCGCGCCCAGCACAGACCAGTTCAAAGACCACACTCCCACCACAGCCCCTTAGCTCCTCTTCTCCAGAGCCTGGGACTCTGCCTGCACGTCCCCCTGCTCACCCCCACCAAGCCTGCCTTGTTCCCCTGGGCCTCCCAGGCTGCCAGACAGAGACCGCTTCCCCCCCTCCCCCCAGCCCAGCTCACCCGCCGGAGCTTGGCCCAGTTGTCCTGGGCTGACAGGCCATTGAGCGCTCCTACTAGTGGGAGGAAACAGCCTAGAAAACATGGGGCAAAGCCCCCCTAGGGAGAGAAATTAAAGCTCTGTGAGCACTCAAATCCCCGCCCTCCCCTAGCACAGCTCCCACTTCCCGAGTCCGTCTCCCTTCTGCTCACCTGGTCCAACAGCATCTTCTTTAGTGCATCAGCCTTGGCGGTGCCAGGGATGAGCCGGTCCAAAACCCGGTACCAGCCTCCTACTACAGGGCCCTAGAGGAAACCCCAGGGAGGACAGACAGCATGTGGTAAGCTCAGGGAGCACATCACAAAGTTCCTCTCTCAAGGTTAGAAGCCAAATCCAAGTGGAACCAGACACTCAAGGCTGGCTTAGATGTGAAAGAGGCCAAGGGAAACTAAAGAATGACATGGAACTAAGACCACCGTCCAGTCCTCCAGCAGCCCGGCTGTGGGTGGAACTTACCACAAAGCCACAGCCCAGGAAGGCCATGGTCAGGGTCCGGCCAGTCTGGTGTCCCCGCAGACCTCGCTTCTCCACCAGCTGCTGTGAGATAATGTCACCCAGGCCCATCAGGGACCCTGTGCAGGGTACACGGGTGTTGTCAGGACACCTCCTGGAGATGGGCTGCCATTCCAGGTAGGGAATAAGTCCCTGAACGAGGCTCTGACACTCTGAGCCTAAGAGATGGTGGGGCAAATGACTGGTCCTTTACTGCTGCTTCAAAGTTCTCCTCTCCCAAGGATGGTGACGCCTCCCCTGTGTCCTGCCAGAAACTGGGATGAACAGCCTTGATCAGACCAGGGCCCACAGACTCTGTACGGAGTAATAAAGGGAAGTCACAGTCAGAGACTCCAGATGAAGGAGAATCTAAGGTGCTTGGAGCTGAGAACCATGGACTATCAAAATTGGAAAGGCCTTCCAGATAATTCCATCCAAACTCATTTTTGAGGTATGAAATAAAGGTCTGGGAGCTCACATAACCAGTAAGTGGCAGAACCAAGGCAAGAACGAGGTGGCCTGATTTCTTACACAATGATTTGTCCAGGACCCGTACTGTGAATAGATCATGTGTAGAATGGTAAGGAACCCTGGGGCTTTTCCCCCACTCCACAACTAGACACTGGCAAGTGTCCTTCACCTCAGTCTTGGGGTCTCTCTTTGTGGAGGACAGCTAGAATAATTCTCTTTCTAAAACCTGAGTGCTTACATGGTCCCAGGCAGGAATATCACTGAACTGGTAAGAGTCCCCACATAGAGGAGTCCTGGGCACCTCCTAGCAGATATCCGGTAAAGCCATACCTGCCCCCCCACCATTCACAACCTCAGACTGAGTGGACAATAGATTTATAGCCATTTCTCCCCCAGGCCTGTGTACCTGCTTCCCCTTCCCTCACTCACACGGACACCCTGCTCCAAGCAATCCTAGTCAGACACCCACACTCAGAAACCGAGATAGAAACTGTCATTGTTTACAGAGCCCCCCATCAGTCATAGTGGCGTGATGGTTTCCAGCAAACACGCACACGCACACGCACATAGGGCCACTTGGGAATGACCATATGATCTCCAGCTCACCTGTCCATCTCGCTGAGTAATGAGAGGCCCCCTCCAGCCCCATACCCACCACTGTCCCTGTGCCCTCAATTAGCACCAAGCAAATACATCCTTTAACCCTAGTCCTTAGTACAGAGCTGGCTTTGACCTCCATGCTGGCCGCATACTCACTGCGCTTCCCCTGCACCCTCCACAAAGCCCTGCCCCTAAGCAGTCTCATCAGAGGCAGCGAAGGAAGGCCAAGGGCTGGGGCTGTGACCCCCGCCCCACCCCCCAGGTGAGCTAGGCTGCTGGCCTCAGCTGCTGGCACTCCTGGCCACACAGCAGCTCTGGGACCCCCGGCGCACCCATCATGGCAGGCCTGCCTCTCCTCATCTTGAAACTCTCAAAGTGCTGGAGGCTCTTCCTAGAACATGCTAGCCACGACCTCCCCAAGGGCAGGAGAGAATCCTAGACATCTTTGTTCTCTTATTCCCCTCCACGTCTAACAAAGTGCTTGGCAGGTCCTCAGAAAACCAACCAAGGAAAACTGTCAAAGGTACTGCCCCCAACAGGCCCAATCTGGGAAAGGCAGCAGTGCTTCCTTGAGTAGCCTACTGGGCCACGTGTCAGGCTCAAGGTGGAAGGACCCGTGGAATTGAAGGCTTGCTCCCTGCTCCCTGCAGTTAGCACTTACTCCCTACCCCTTGCCTTACCTCCCCCAGGGAGGGCTCGTTGCTGTGGCCATGCATGGAGGGAAGGGTGCCTGGAGAAGGCCCGGGGAGGGCAGAACAGAAGGCAGTCACTTCTTAAATGAAGAGACTTAATGGTTTGACGTTCTGCTTTGGCAATATGTTTACAGTTTACAAATGGCCCTCACGCATTGAAAGTTCTGGGAGGTAGGGCCACACCTCCATTTAATGTCTTTAAGAGATGAGGTTATTTGGTAAGGATCAGAGTGGGGGCTGAACCCAGGCCTTCTCTCGAGGAACAGGAGGCTAGGGAATCACAGAGGGGCCGAGGCTTGAGCTCTAGGGTCAGTGGCAGCTAGGCAGCCTCTGCGGCTTCTACTCGCAAGAGCTTCCTGCCCGAACAAGGCCCCGAAGGCCGCATGTCAGAGACACTTCTTGGACTAATGCACTTCCTGTCTTTTACTCCCCAGGAGGTGACCCTCTCTGTTCCTTGTCACCGTGTGGGGAGGGCAGGCAGCAATATTCCTGGGTCACAGCAGTCGCAGAGAGGGAGGTGTGGGATTTCACTCTTTGTGGCTGGCCAACGGTCACTCAACAAGCAAAAGCAGAGCAGGAATGAAAAGCATAGTCCGGGAAGCCAGCAGCCTCTGAGAAAGATGGATTCTAGGAGCCCAGACCGTGCTCATTGAGCCCAAGGGACTACTGAGTGGAAGAGCAGCAGTGAGGGAGTGGGCGCACAGCTCTGTAGCCCCTGCCAGCCCTGTCCATTTCAGACACAACGGTGCCCAGTGGCTCCTCCTCTGCTCGCAGATCATCAGGACCCTGGGCCTGCAGCAACTCCAGGGTGGCCTAAGGCTTTGGTCTGAACTCAGAGCAAGGCCTGTCTCTCTGGCCCAAGTGAGTCTGAGCAAGAAGAGCTGACACTGAGATTCCTCATTCTACCTTCCCCAGTGCCAGAGCCCAAACGGGCCCCAGTCAGATACTGGGAGTCCTCCGGGACATAATCGGTTGGTCCAGATCTTTCAGTGCTCTGGCTCCCCATTCCTCGGACTTGTTTCCAGGGGGTTGGAATGAGAGGCTTGCAGAGACGTAATGCTTGAGCCCTGATGGGGCAGGACAAGGGGCTGCCGCGCAGTGATGCCCAATGCCAGGCTGGGCGTGCAGCCCAGTAGGCAGACGCTGGCGCAGGTGTGACATCATGCTCTTGGGTAGGTGCCAGTTCTCATGCCGTCACTTGCCACCAGATTCGGTGGAGTGAGGGGGTTGGGGGAGTCTACTCTGAGCACCCATCTATCTGTGACCACCCCCTGCCCACCAGTGGGAAAGCCCCAACTTCCACACCATCTTCCTAGTTCCCTACTTCCTCTATTTTGTTCCTCTCCTGGCTTTTGCAATATGGGGTCTTCGATACAAGAAAATAAAATGCTCATGGAAGAGAAGGTTGGGGAGCAGGAGATGTGTCCTTGAGTACAGTAGGCCTGGGGTGGCGGGTAGAGCTATTGGCAGGGGGCCAGCGGTGCTGCTGACTCACTCTTCCCCAGAAGCCTCCACATTAAATAGCTGCCTGGGCTGGGGGCCATCTCTGATAGACCCCAGGACAACTGAAGCCTAGCAGAGAAAGGGGGGAGTGCATCCTCTGGGATGGGTCTGAATGCTCTCCCCATTCCTAGTCCGAAGCTATCCTACTGCTAGAAGATGAGACAAAATGGAAGGTCTGCAGCTTGTCAGATATGTAAGCTCAGACCAACGGGGTCTACGCTCTACCTTCTGAGGCCCCAATAGTCTCAAGTACAGGGCAGGGCATTGAAAGCGCACTATATTCTAAGGCCATTTCTACCACTGACTGAGGGGATCAGTGTGGGTCACCGCACCCTCTGCCACTCCTGCTCTACGGGATCGGGATCAGGATCAGGATGGGGGGGGGGGCTGGACTGGATGCTCCACTGCCTGCTGAGCTTTCACATCCTGGCGGAATTCAGACTCCAGGGAAACCAGTGTCTGCAGAAGCTCAGCTGCCCCATAGCAGGACTAGAGTGGCCAAAAATGGGTGGAGCTGGGCCCAGGGCCCACTGGAGACTGGAAGGGGCCTCCTTTTCCCAGGCTGCTCTGCTCCTGAATTTAACTTGGCCAACACTAGGTGTATCAGATACTTCTTCTGAACCATTTCAGATCTCGATTAACTTATCCCTTACTCCAGCCACTACTGCTGCTCAACCTGACTGATCCTGCCTCAGGCCTGGGTCATAGCTGGGGATGTACCATCCATGCTTAACCCCAGGGATGGCGCCCAGGAAACCCAGCAGCACACAGATGTTGACAGCCCATGTGGCAAACCTTTCACCAATGTGAAATGAGAGCTGGTATGTAACTGTTTCTTTTCTCCAGAAAACACTGTTTTTCCCTTTGGTCTGAAAAAGCGTTTCAAAGAGCTTCTCAGTTTCAGGGGATGGAGTAGCCATGTGCCCTAAGCAATATGCTATTTGATCTTCCTTCTCCCTGCTCCCCCCCCCCCCAGGATTACTTCCTGCTCCCTTACAAAGTACCTGTGCCAGCCTCAGGCTCTGTTGCTTGGAGAGCCAAGGCTGAGATAGTCACCCATGTTTGAATTTAAGGCAAATGGAACAAACTCAGACGAAATACCACTAGACAAAGAACGGTGCAGGGGCGCCTGGGTGGCTCAGTTGGTTAAGCAACCAACTCTTGGTTTCAGCTCAGGTCATGATCTCAGGGTCGTGAGATCAAGCCCTGCTTCGGACTCTGTGAGGAGTGTGGAGTCTGTTTGAGAGTCTCTCTTCTCCCTCGGCCCCTCCTGCTTCTGCTCTCTTTCTCTCACTCTAAAAAATAAATAAATAAATCTAAAAAAAAAAAAAAAAGAACAGTTTGTTGTGTGTGGATTGCCAACACTCATGAAAATGCCAAGCTCAGGAGTCTTTATGTCTATTAAGCATTTTTATTTTATTTTTTTATTTCTAAAGCCTTTTCACAGAGAGAACCCTTACAGTGGCTCTGTGAGGTCAGCTAAGTAGACTCAACTCCTGAACGAGGAAACTGAGGCTCCAAGGGGTTTACTGACTGACTTGCCTCAGTTCATGCAGCTTCCGAGGACTACAGCTCTAAAATTAAAACCCTGCTCTTCCAACTCCAAGTCTGAAATCTCTCTTATGTCTTCCAGTATAAGGAGCTATCCCAGGGGGCCTTAGGAAGCACTGTGCTGAAAACAGCTTGGTGAGCCAAACCTACCTCCTTCTTTTATTTGTAGTTTGATCCAATATACTAACAGCAGGGAAGAAGTCTGGGAAAAGTGCTACCTAGAAAGTGCTTCAGGGCGACATGGAGATGATGAGGTAATGCAAGCTCCAGCATGGACAGACCAGTACCCCGGTTTGGCCACGTCTGCATGGGGACCTCTCTGAAATCCAGCTCCTCCTCTTGTACCTTTCTGAGGTAGGGAAACACAAGGACTCTCCCTCCCCCTCTATTCTTGATGGCCACGAGGGGGGAACCTTCCTTCCAGCAGTTAAGGGCCCTGAGGGAGTCAGGCTGGCAAAGGGCCCAGCGTGTCAGTCCCCATCATAGCCACACAGTCCAGCATGAGTCACTACCCACGCAACCAGGTGAGTCATGCAGGCTGACGGACACTCTGAGGACAGGACGGGGTGGTTAGGCACGGAGGTTGGAGAGGGGCCTGGGGAGGGGCAAAATCGTCTGCCCCTTGGCCAGTCACCCAGTGAAGTTTCTAGTGTTGATGTGGGGTTGTTCCAGTAACAGGCCTGCTGTTCTCCCCTGGATTCCATAGCCTGCCACTCCTCTCAATGGTCTTCCTCTCAGAAGCCCAGAGTCCTCCCTAGAATCCTCTCCTCTTCCTCTAAACATAGACCAGATCTCATCTTAACCTGATCATTCTTGCACTGCCCCCAGTCACACACCTTCTAGTTCTCCCCCCTATTAAACATACTTATCTCTATGCCATCCCCTTGCTCCTCAGCTACTGTGCAAAATAAAGATGGTAACAAATGCAGGTAAGTCACTAGGCTACCTTTGTGAGACTGCTATCCAATCACTGGATTTGGAGTAAACATAAATCACTGATTAGTATATTGTTTGGGGATGCATATATAGGTAGTAAAACTATAAAGAAAGCAAAAGAGGAATATAAACAAAAATCCAGGAAAGGAGTTATTTCTTGGCTGGTTAGAGACAGGTGCTCAAGGGGTCTCAAGCTGGGTACTGATATGAGTAATCAGTTTTAATACTGTTTAAACTATACATACATGTCCCAACTATTCTTTTGTATCTTAAGATACATTTCACGATTAAAAAAATGAAGAAAAATAAAATGGGGTAAAAATCCTAATTCCAGCACTTAAGATGTGTAATCTAATGTGGACTCAAGTAATCCTAGCTCACAGATCCTGGTGGGGACTCTGTGAGATAATACGTTGAAAGTGTTTTTGCACACTGTAAGATGTTAGAGAAGCATCTGCTATTGTTAGTTTTCTTTTTTAAAAAAAGACTTTATTTATTTGGGAGAGAGAGACAGAGATCATGACTGCGATAGCACAAGCAGGGTGGAGAGGGAGCAGCAGACTCCCCGCTGAGCAGGGAGCCTGACTCAGGGCTCTATCCTGGGAATCCAGGACCATGACCCCAGCAGAAGGCAGAGGTTTAACAGACTCAGCCATCCAGACACCCCTCTATTGTTAGTTTTCTAAGTTAAGTTCTCCTAGGGCAATGCCTTTCACCAGAAGGGAGAAAAGTCCTTTGCTTTTTGGGGGCTTTCAGATCCTACTTTACAGCTAGGTATATCCTTTCCTTGAGGATAGCCTTGGGGACCCACCCTTCAAAAGACTGGGGACAGCCTTAGATGAGATACAGCCAACACTTCAAGGGGGCTCAAGAGAAGCAAAAAATGAGGGAGGTGTGGTGAGGTGAGCTTCTGCCTCCCAAATCAGCCTGCCTGCTCCCACTCAGATCTATTCACTCACCAGCTGTCAGGACCTGTACTTTCCACGGGTGAACAGTCAGGGCTCGCTGGTATGCCCGCCAGAGTGCCATGATTCCTGTCAAGCCAAGAGGAGAGGGGGGTCACCCCCACTGCCCATCCCCACAATTAAAGAGCGCTTGGCTTTCCCTTGGGCCCACTTCCTCTCCCCGTCCCACTTCCATGTCCTAGAGGGGCAGTGGGCTCAAGAGGGATGCTTCCTGTGACAGGGGTCGCCTGAGACAGTCAGGTAACAGAAGCGGGCTGTAGGAGGCTGCGGAATCTCGGTGGCACTCCCCCCGCCCCCTCAATCCCTCAGTCTTAACGCAGAGCCACCTAGGGGCCTCCTTCCCTACCGAGACCCTCCTGAGGAGAGGTTTGCTCCGGCTTTCACCCAGAGCCTGGTAGGTCCCCAAATTCACTTAGTTGGAACCAGCTCGTATGCTTCCTGGGCCCAACTCCACACCGGAAACAGGGCCTCTCATTCCTTGAGCCTGGACCAGTCACACGCGCCTTGGGTGCTCCAGGCACGGGACGGTTCGAGCCCGGGGAGACTCGCCCCGCACTCACCTGCGCCGGCGTCCAGCCCCTCCCACGTGACCAGGCCGGGGCAGGACTTCCGCCGCAAGACTCGCCCCTTCCGGCCGGCTGACCGCTGAGCTTTCTCCGCCCGCAGCCGGGGCTGGAGTGGGAGTGGACTGCGCGTAATACGCGTGGAGAGCCGCTCAGCGGTCGGTCTGTGAGCGCGCCGGTCTCGGTGGGGCCCCGCCCGCCGTTCTGCCCACCTGGGGCCGACCGCTGCCTCCTCCTGCCCCTCCTCTCCCCGAAGCCCGGGCTTCTCAACCTGGTAGACGCTCCCTGCTCCCTCCCCCGGAACTGGCCAAGGTGCTGACGCCCTTCATGGTCTCGGGAATCCCTCTGGAAACTATAAGCCTAGTTAACTGCGGGTTATCTTTCCAGTGACGCTGGGTTCTTCACTAGTCTTAATTGCGAACTCCTGAATGGGTGAAACTGGGTCTTCTTCGTACCTGTCGTCCTCTTAGTGCCTGGTTCAGTCTTTGTCCACAGTAGCCTTTAAAAGTGCCACGTAAAGCGAACTCCTCCGTGGAAAGCATGCGATTCCAGAACCTCAGGAGGTCCTGGTACTGGTTTTGTTAAGTAGCGGTCTCCGCAGCCTTGGTCACCACTAGACTTGAACTTACGGTTCTTCATCTGTTGGACTGTTTTTCAAACCGGGCTCCTCCTCAGTATTAGACGTTTATAAGATGTTTTGCGCATATCACTCACTACAGGTTCTTCTTTACCTCAGCTTTTAAAATGTTTCTAGAAAGAGCCACTTTTTAAAAAAGGGGTCCACAACTAAATATCTAGAAATCACTAGATTAGGTGATTTCTTAACCCCTTTCCAGCCTTAACATTCTAAAATTTTGTGAATATAGTGCAACATCCTTTTGAGGGTGGTGGAAACGACAAGATCCCTGGCAGAGTTGTCAGGCTGGCAGCCTTTGCTTAACTTGCCCTGGGAACCCACACTTCAGGAAGCAGCTACACCTGTCTTTCAGGTTCTCTACCTGGCTAGTGCTAGCTCCCATTTACTCAATTCCTATGTGATCACCACAGGGAGAATCCTGTTACAGATACTGGAGAAACACAATGAGGAAGCAAAGTAATACGATGTCACAGACATTTAACCAAAGGCTCCTATATGCAAAACACTGTGCCAGGAGTGAATTTACACTAGTAAATGTAATAGGAGACCAAATGTGGTAGGTTGGAAAGCTGTTCTCTGCAGTCTACGTTCAAATCCCAGCAACCACTGCTTAGTAAAGGGACCTTATTCATTCAGACTACTCAAACTCAGAATCTTATCTTTACAAGTAAAATGCGGCAATATCTACTTCATAATTAACACGTGCAAAATACCTGAAATCGATCCAGTGTTTAATAAACACTCATTTGTCCTTTTTCTTCCTTCCCTCTTGAGAATACATGAGGGAGAATTTTTACTAGAGAAATCTGGGAAGCTCCATAGTAAAAGGTGAAATTTGAGCTGGGACCTTGAAAGATGAATGGGACTTATATGGATATGACTGGAGGGAGGGGAGGAACGACAGTATGAGCAAAGGCACAAAGGATGAGAAGAACATGAATCCATATAGTATAAAATGGATACATTGGGAGGGAAGGCTGAAGTAGAATGGCCTTTAGAGAAAAGGGTTTTTTTTTTTTTTTTTTTTTTTGAAAAGGGTTTATAGTAGACAGAGAGCAAGGGCTGAAAGCATTCTCCGGATACACAGAAGAGGCAGAAACGCGGTTCGCAGATTATTTGGCCAACCCATCTACAGACAGAGCCAGTGGGTTTTGTTCCAGGTAGGCACTAGTGTCCACTCCCTTCAGTTGCAGCTGGCTGCATATTTTTATTTCCTGAGGTCATCTGACTACTTCCCCCAAACTTGATTGTACTCCCATATATTCTAAGACTATGGTTTGCCTATTTCTCATTGCTGGAGTCTGACTTTGCTTATAAGGCAATATTACAGTCCCTAGGAGTCTGCAGCTTTCCACAAGGACTCTAACAAGAGGAGATATAACAATACATACAGTACTTGAGTTTTAAACACCTCCTATACAGAGATTTCAAATAAAGCAGCTAGACATGTTTAATAAGTCAATAATGTGACAATATCATGAAGGATCAAAAATCATGACGTGTAAATAATGGTTATAGTAACTGAAGATATTTAATCTAGAGAAGAAAAGACTTGGGAAACACATGATAGCTATTTTTAAATATACTTAAAAGGGCAATCACAGGGAAAAATGACTAGATTTCCTATTACCCATGGTGAAATTTATAGAGTATACTCTGACTTGATATAAAGGAAGATTTTTTTAAAATATGACTGCCTAGGAGTGTTCAAGTAGGGTCAGATGACCAGTGATTGGGAATATTTCATAAGCAGGAGTGAGTAGGATCTGAGCCACTGTTCTACTGGTAGGGTGTTTGTGGTGTTCCTCAGTTAAAGTACTACAAGCAGCTTCAGTCCAATAAATGACTATCACCCCTCCTGGGCCTGTGTGTTGGTTACTTGAGAAGGCAGTAATACTAGATCCTGGAATATAGTCACACAGGACCCTTCATGCGGATACCCTTTTGTGTTCTCCAAACACCCACTCACGTGTGGTCTCAAAAACACCCAGTATCTTTACTTAGCTTTACGCACTTCACAATATGCTCAATATGAGCAATTTGACTCCCAAGCCTAGGTCAGGCCTGAGTGTTACTCATGAGCCATAGTTTTAGGCTGAGGAGCCTTGAGAGTTTGTGGAGGGATAGCCCCCCTGCCCGCAGGGGGCTGTGATGACAGAAGTCTGTAGGAGAGGTATCTAAGGAGTCCTGGCAAGGCTGGTCTAAAGATCCAGGTCTGGCAGCATCACTATCCATGAGGACCCCAGTTCCTATGGCTCTGTACATGGGGGGGGCCATTTGTTCCTGGCAGACTTCATTCCAGAGGTCCTGTGTGGACCACGACTAGGGACCGGGCAGAAGGCGATGGCTAGTTGGAGGGAAGCCAGGCCCTTTAATAGGGGAGGACGGCTGGAACATAGCACTAAAGTGGGCTCGACTTTCAAGCTGCATACGGTGGCCCAGTGGTGAGGTGAGTCCACGGACAAAATGGATCCGAACCAGCCCTGACTGTCCCCCAGATACCAGCCATCCATAAGAATCCAGGTTGGGACTGAATCGGACCTGCAAAGAGAACAGAAAACAAGAGATATTCACCGTTGATGCTTTTGGGTAGTCCTACCTGTAAGGGGGGATAAAAAGGGCGACAGTCTAAAAGGACAGGACCATGATGGGGTGAGAGAGGTAGAAACAGGTAGGTCATGTTCTGCAGGATGCAGAGCCAGAGCTGTCTTTCTTCCTTAGCTGTCTGTGCTGCCTTTTCATCCCTCATTTCATTGATTGTAGGTCTAGAGTTGGGAGGAAATGCGAGTGAAGGGTGAAGATGAGAGACAAGGTTTTTACCTTGTGAATTGCCTCGAGCTGCAGCCTGTCCAAGCAGAGCTGTGAATGCCCCTCTCCTTCCTGCATGCGCAGCATTGGCTCCCTGTGGAGCAGATCATGGAAGGAACTCTGGGGAGGGAAGGATAACAGGAGAGAGAAAGCCAACAGCTTCTTAGTCTTGCATCTTTGTGCTGCAACTCCTTACAATGCCCTACTATACCAGGACTAAAGTCTTCTGCTTTTTAAAATGCCACACCCATTCTCCTGGCCTCAATTTACCAAATCTGTGTCTTGAAAGAGCAAGTAGTGATGGTTGACAGTTTCAGCATAAGTTCGAGCCTTAGGAGGGTTGGGGGCCTCAGATGAAGCAGAATGATCTCGACCTTCAGGGCTGTCCTGATATGGCATCAGATCTGCTTTATATATAGGCTAGAAAGGAGACCATGAGATTAGGTCCTATAATACTGGAGACAGAATAAAAGAGAAACTTGATGGGGCACATGGGTGACTTAGTTGGTTAAGCGTCTGACTCTTGATCTCAGCTCAGGTCTTGATCTCAGGGTTGTGAGTTCAAGCCCTGTGTTGGGCTCCACGCTGGACGTGGTTTAAAAAAAAGAGAGAAAATTGGTTTTGGGCAGGAAAGACTTAAAAGATGGAAGAAGGTAATATGTTTAAACACATGTACAGATGCACTATGATAGGGAAGATTATGTATAATTCTGTGCTAAGACTTCAAGGGATAATATCAGGTCTGGGAGAACTCATCCAAATTTGTACCTATTACTTCATAGTTCTAATTTAGGAGGTCATGTACGTTAGGACCCAACAGATGGTGCTATACCATTAAATATTCATATACGTACGAATCTTCGCTCTACAGGTCGCTTGACATTTATTGGGTTCAGTGCCATATCAGGCAATATAGCTGCAATGAGCTCCCCAGATATATCTCCTGCGGCTATTGTCCCAAGCCAGTCGGATCCTGAAAGACTCTAATAAGAAGAGACAGATTTCTTTCATTCACTCATTCATTCACTCATATTGTTTCAGTTCTGTGAACTGGTAACAACTCCACAGTCTGAAGTGGGAAATACATACAGAAACAAAAATGAGTTTATTGGATGGTGGGATGGGGTAGGTGGGTGATGGGCATTGAGGAGGGCACGGGATAGGATGAGCACTGGGTGTTATATATAACTGATGAATCACTGACCTCTACCTCTGAAACCAACAATACATTATATGTCAATTAATTGAATTTAAATTTTTAAAAATGAGTTTACCATAATGTTTATCCCTGACGATACAGTTACCATACATCTATCCCTTCTATCCCCTATTGCTGCCTCTTCCTGACCCCCAGTAGCTGAGTAAGGAAATCGTTTTCCTGTGTAATGAAGACAGGGGCTCACCCAGACAGTGCCTTTTCGAGGAGCAGTGAAATAGGCCTTGAAACCAAGGTAACCAGCATCAATATAATGAATTCCACAGAGTCCGTAACTATAAGAGGGAGACAAAATAAAACTTTCCTTTTTCCAAGATTAGATTCATTTCCCTTCCCCCATTCCCTCCAGAACTCCAACTACCTCAATGAAACAGCTTTCAACCCTCCTCTCCCCACAACAGTCTAGCACATTTTGCCCCCCAACCCTTAGGGTCTGTCCCCAGAGCTCCTCTTGTGCGCATCCTGCCGTACGAGGCATAGCAGTTGTCCTGGGCCACAGTAACACCATTGTAGGGTAGGAGCCAGGCCAGCTCTGTACTCAAGAAGCGCTTGATAGAGTTTATGGGTTCATAAGGTCGTCGAAGGTCCCAGAATTTGATTTTGCGGTCGCTCCCCGCAGAGACAAGGAAATGACTGTGCAAAGAGGGGAGAGGAGGGAGAAGATCAAATCTGATCAAGTCCGGGAGCACCAGCCTTTTCAGGCTTCACCTCCCACCCCACAGCTCTGCTGTCCTGTACCTGTTAGCTTTGCACCACTGAAGTGTACGCACAGCCTGGTCATGGGCTAGGAAACACTGAAAGGGGTAGAGTTTCAAGGAGCCATCAGAGAGCCGGATCCGCTGCAGGGGTGAATTAGTGGGAAGGTTCCAAAAAACTACCATTCCTGAGGTAGGGACAGAATGTGTAGGTATTAAAGGCCAGTTCTCTCTTCTTTGCTGTAATGTCTTTCTCGGGCTCCTAGGACCTTTGTCTTTTCCCCTCAGAGGTGACCCCCTTATGAAAGGATGTAGGGATCATAATTAGCTAGCCAACATTCCCTCTGTGATATTTCAGCTCCAACTCTTATCAACAAAAAATAGCTTAGTCTGGGACTTGCAGTTGAAAGACAGAATGAATACACCCAGTAGCCTCTATTCCCTACTAAACAGAAACAAAGGGATTTTTATTTTTTGTTTTTTAAAAGATTTTTATTTATTTATTCATGAGACAGAGAGACAGAGAGACAGAACGCAGGCAGAGGGAGAAGCAGGCTCCATGCAGGGAGCCCGACGTGGGACTCAATCCCGGGATTCCAGGATCACGCCCTGGGCAGAAGGCAGGCGCTAAACCACTGAGCCACCTATGGATCCCCAACAAAGGGATTTTTAAAAAGCAAAAAACCTCTAGGACAAGGGTTGGCAAACTACAGCCCTTAGGCCAAATACAGCCTGCTGCCTGCTTTGGTAAATAAAGTCTGACTGGAACAGTCACTCGTTCGTTTACCTAATGTATGGCTGCCTTCATTTCTCAATGGCAGAGCTGAGTAGTTCCAACAATGGTCAAACAGCCCACAACACATAAAATATTCACTATCTGGACCTTTTAGAGAAACATCTGCCAACTCTGTTCTAAGACAAAGAGAACAGGCAAGGAGCCAAAAGCAACAAGATGCAGAGAAACAGAAATCAAAAGAACAAAGAGAAACAAACTCTGCTGACTCTAAAACAGGCTGCTCCTGGCCAGGCTAGCAGAGAAGGGAATCAAAAACATAACTTTGATAAAAGTAAAAGACAAATTAAAGAAAAGTAAGAATTTAATAAACAATAGCTGAGGAAACTGTAGCTAAAAACTCAGGAAATGTAGCACCTCTGAAACTTTCTTGGAAAAACTTATTGGCAGTGACCTCCAGCTGAGCCAGATCAGTCATGTAGCAACAAGGATGGACTCAGAGGGGCAGACTGATGGACATGGGTGATAATTTCAATACAGAAATCTAACTTGGGGATTTAAGACAGCAAAACAGCATCAAGACTGATGAACTCTGATGACATAGGATCATCACACCAAAAGAAACACACTTAAAAGACAGAGAGGGACAGGAAGCATGAGCATGCTAATTTCCGGACCTTCTGGGACGAGACTGATGAGGTCTAACCATGAAATTGTTCCCTGAGGACTCCAACTACCGAATATTCTTATTTATGATCCTTTTCAATCTCCCCTTTTAAACCTTAAGAGTATCTTTAAGGAACTAACGTCTGTGGTGAAGGAACATTTATGTGGAGCTTAGCCCATCTCTCGGTTTCAATCTTTTTCTTTTATAAAATTAAAGTGTAATTAAATTTCATACATTTTCATTTAAAATGGCTTATACAGGGGCACCTGGCTGGCTCAGTTGGTGAAGAACGTGACTCCTGACTTCGTGGTTGTGAGTTTGAGCCCCATGTTGGGTGTGGAGATTACTTAAAAATGAAATCTTAAAAAAAAAAAAAAGAAAGAAATCTTTAAAATAGCTTATATGGTATGATCCCATTGCTAGAATTCTCTCTTAACATCCGATCTTTTAATCTTTTATATGCATAGAAAACTCCATAAAGGGCAGCCCTGGTGGTGCGGCGGTTTGGCGCAGCCTGCAGCCTGGGGTGTGATCCTGGTGACCTGGGATCGAGTCCCACATCGGGCTCCCTGCATGGAGCCTGCTTCTCCCTCTGTCTGTGTCTCTGCCTCTCTCTCTGTGTCTATGAATGAATGAATGAATGAATGAATGAATGAATGAATAAATAAATAAATAAATAAATAAATAAATAAATAAATAATATCTTAAAAAAAAAAAGAAAACTCCATAAAAAGGATGTTCTTTTATGCTTTTTTCTTTAAAGATTGTATTTATTCACTTTTTAAATATTTTATTTATTTATTCATGAGAGACAGAGACAGAGAGAGAGAGAGGCAGAGGCAGAGGCAGAAGGAGAAGCAGGCTCCATGCAGGGGAGCCCAACGTGGGACTCGATCGCGGGTCTCCAGGATCAGGCCCTGGGCACTAAAATGCTGAGCCACCCGGGCTGTCCGTATTTATTTATTTGTGAGAGAGCAAGTGAGAGCATGATCTGGGGGGAGGGGAGAGGCAGAGGGAGAAGCAGACTCCCATTGAGTAGGGAGCCCAACACGGGGCTCAATCCCATGGCCCCGAGATCATGACCTGAGCCACAGGCAGATGCTTACTTAACCTACTGAGCCTACCCAGGTGCCCTTGTTCATCTATTCTCAATTATGTTTTTCTGAGTAGAAAACTTCTAGTGACTCTTCTTTCTAAATTTTAAAAAAATATTTTATTTATTTATTTGAGAAACAGGGAGAGAGTGAGCAAGAGAGAGACCAGGAGTGGAGTGAGGGGCAGAGGGAGAAGCAGACTCCCCATTGAGCAGGGAGACTGATGTGGGACTAGATTCCAGGACCCCAGTATCATAACCCAAACCAAAGGCAGACATCCAACCGAATGAGCCATCCAGATGCCCCAGACTTTTTCTTTGTGTTTTTTTTTTACATTGCTTAAACATAATGCCCAACAATGAACCAAAAAGGAAACAACCAAAAAACAAGCATACATAAAGTTTAAAGAGCAATAGACCCTTATGCTCTCTGTTGTTTTTTTTTTTACCATTATAGTAGCCAGCAGCCAGGTGGTGGTGGGGCCGGGTGGGCATCCAGGCCAGGCTAAGGCACTGACCGCACTCAGAGGGGTCCGAAGCTTGCATAGACCCCACCTGAAGGGTTGCCACACATTGTACCTGCAGGAATAGAATAGTCAGGACTAGGGTTATGGATACCTACCATTTGCAACAAAGGCTCAAATCAGTGTTTAATCCAGCAGGGAGGAGAGGCAGAAGGACACTCACTGTGGAATCGGTAAAGAAGGCTCAAGCAGATGGAGCCTTGGCTAAGGTAGCAGGTTGCTCACTCACCTTATAGATGGCAGGCTTCATTGCTTCTGTGAGAGAAGGAAAGCATTAACTGATGCTCTGGGAACAGAGGACTGAAATCCTGCCTTGCTCTTAGATCACACCCCAGATCTGAGAATGACCTTCCCTGACACCCATCTCTCCTCCAACACATTGATGAATCTACCTCTATCAGCCCCCATCTTCTTTTCTCCCCCACTGTTGTACATGAGCATATCCCTCCCCCTATCAGAATGGCTAACTGCTTTACTCTACTCTCTTTCCACGTTCTCTCACCTTTTCTAGAATCTTGCTCATTTGGTTATCTTTCCTTTTTCCTGAATGATCCACTTTCTCTCTCTCTACTGGGTCATTCTCATATTCAGACATAAACATGCACAATAGCCTTCTAACTAAATGAAACACACAAACAAAACCCTTCCTTTAAACCTTGTTCACCTCCAGCACCACCCTCATCTATGTGTTCCCCTTCACAGCCAAACTACTTGAAAGAAGTGTCTATGCATCTGTCTTCACTTCCTTACTGCCTATTCCCTCCTCAGCTCACTCCTCCACCAGACCACCAAATAGGATTTCTCAGGGCTCAAACCTGGGTACCCTTTTCTTTAAATACTCAGTACAGTTGAAAAACAAATAGGAGCTGCCTTTCACTAACCCTTCCTCTTCTTGCTCAACTTCAGCTCTCCAGTCTTTCCCTCTATTCCCAATAAAAAGACTGTTTATGTGTACTGTGTTTATGTATACATAGCAGTGAGGGCAGGAGAGGTCAAGTAAAGGACTGGAGGCAGGAGAAGAGCAGGAGAAGAGAGTGGCAGGGAAGATCAGCCTTAGCAGCTCTTTACACAGCCAACCAGCCGTGGTAGCAGGAGGAGAGGGCCTGCAAGCACCCAGCAAGGAAAGGCAGGGAAAGGAGAGTGGCTGAAAGAACCCAGTGACAAAACTGTAGCATAGAGCACACTTTGCAGGCTGCTAAAGAAAAAGGTCAAGGACAATAGGTGTGAAGTCAGAGTAGATGGGGTGCTGAGTGAGGCTCTGTCCTAGAGGTGGGGGGACTTTAGGGGAGACAGACAGACCCTGCTACAGCAGCACCACGTCCCCCTGCCCACTGTGCTACTTACCTGGGGGCTGCTGAGCCAGCAGGGCCTCTGGATGGGGCAGACTGAACAGCAGCACCTTCCCGTCTGAGCAGGCAAGAGCCAAGAGGCCCAACCTGGGCAGGAGAGGAGCCTAGAGGGGAGACCAGATCTGTGCTGAGGCTTGCTGCCCTTAGGGCCTCTCAGAAAACTTTTAAGGTTTTAGTCCCTGGAAATGCCATAGAGTTGCTGGGAAAACTCCATCCTCCGTGTCAACTCTGGGAACTCATAGAGTCTGGTCTCTCTGTTCTGATTGTGAGTCCTAGGGCATCCCACAAACAACAGGGAGGTACCTTCCGGGGGGTGCCTGGAAGTTCCCATGCTCCACTGGGGCAGAATTTGAGGTCCCAGATGCAGCCGTGGTCACAAGCGATCCCATAGACAAAGTGAGCCCTGTTGCCAGGACTGAGGAGAGAAAGCACAAGGGGAGAATGGGCCTGGGGCCGCCAGCCTGTGCTCCACCCCATCTCAATCCAAGCCAAGCCCCCCAGAGCCCCTGCCCAGCCCCATCCTTCTCTTCTCCTCAACCACCCTCCTATGGCAGCATCCCAGCCCCACCTCACCAGCTTTCTTGCTGCAAGGTCCCAAGGCCCCAGACTTGGAGCAGCCCAGGACCCGAGTGAAGCTGGCTCAGTGGGTGTGTCTCATTCATGTCAGGGCTGGAGAAAAGGGCCACATACTGCGAAGCTGCTGCCCCCTCTGGCACTGGACACCAGTCCAGAGCCCAGAGGGGTCCCCCTGTGAAGAAGGACACATCCCAGCGTTCTGGGTGTGCTGTGATTGAGCTAAATCTAGAGAAAAGTCAAAGATGGGATGAAGAAAGGGATTAACAAAACATAATAAGGACTTAAGGAGGTGAAAGGATAAATTAACATCCAAACAATGGAATATTATTTGACACTAATCAGAAATGAGTTCTCAAGCCGTAAAAAGGCATGGAAGAACCCTAAATGCATATTACCAAGTGAAAGAAGCCCACCCGAAAAGGCTATACACTGTATGATCCCAGCAATGTGACATTTTGGAAAAGGCAAAACTCTAAAGACAATCAAAAGATCTGTGACAGCGACAATAAGAGCAGAGGGCAGGATGAGTGGTTAGAACACAGAGGATTTTTAGGGCAGTAAAACTACTCTGTATGACACCATAATGACAAAGATAGCTCATTATACATTTGTCCAAACCCACAGAATGTACAACATCAAGAGTGAACCCTAGTGTAAATTATGGACGAGTGAGGACATGTCAGTATAGGTTCATCAACCGTAACAGATGTACCGTCTGATGGGGGATACTGATAACCAGGGAGCTGTGAATGTGGAGTGGGGGACAGGGGTATATGGGAGATCTCTGCATCTTCCTCTCAAGTTTTGCTGTGAACCTAAAACTGCTCCAAAAAAATGAAGTCTTTAAAAAAGAGAAACAGGGATGCCTGGTGGCTCAGTGATTGAGCGCCTGCCTTCAGTCCAGAGCGTGATCCTGGAGTTCCAGGATTGAGTCCTACATCAGGCTCCCTGCATGGAGCCCGCTTCTCCCTCTGCCTGTGTCTCTGCCTCTCTTGCTATGTCTCTCATGAATAAATAATATCTTTAAAAAAATAAAAAAAATGGTAATGAGGACAGAATGGTAGTTCCACCTGGAGCTGGTATGAACTGGCTTAAGCCAGGGCCAGAAAAGCAAGAACACTACAGTGTTCTCTCCAGGGCCAGCCTGTCTGGATCTATCTGAGTACATGTGAACTGATAAAATGGTCTGGCACTCCATCTCCCTCGCTTCCCTCAATCTGACCAGCAGTGATAAGCACTGCAAATTAGAAAGGGGGTGACCAGATTTAGCCAGGACTCCTGTGTTAGTCCAACTGGAACAGCATCAGGGGAAGAATGGAGCCAATTTGTCATTCCTTTCAGATTTTTATCTATTCATGAGAGACACAAAGTGAGAGAGGCAGAGACATAGGCAGAGAGAGAAGCAAGCTGCCCTCGGGGAGCCCAATGTGGGACTCAATCCTAGAACCCCAGGTCATGCTCTGAGCCAAAAACAGACACTCAACCACTGAGCCACCCAGGCATTCCGGTCATTCCTTTCAATACTCATTTTTCCTATTTCTATCTCCCAGAATCAGAAACAGATATGCAATCTTCACCTGTTTATTCGGTAGAGTGTGCCATCTTCAGGAAGTCCTTCACGTTGGACAGAGAATAGTGGAGACTTCTCCTCCTGGGGCAGGTAGGGAGCCGCCTCACTGGGGGTGGAGGTGGGAACAGTGTGAATTTTGGAAGTTTCACTCATCCTAGGATTCCCTCCCCGTCTGCAGTGGTGTCACCCCCTAAGCTTTAGAATGTTTCTTTAACTTACAGTTCAGATAACAAGTGCCACTTCCAGGCCAGGGGAATCCATTCTGCAAACTCCCAGTATGAATGCTTCTGTTCTCGGCTAGAGGAACAGAAGAAGCATTAATGAAGGAGAAGAGAGGTTCGGTAAACCTTTCTGCAGTGATGGAAGTGATTTATGATCTGTGTTGTCTGATAGATACACTAGCTGCATGCTGCAAGTAGCTACTGGGCACTTGAAATGTGGCTAGTGGAACTGAGAAACTGGACTTTTAATTTTAATTAATTTTACATTACATTTAAATGGCCACACACAGCTAGTAGCTAACATGTTGGATAGCATAGCTCTGGAGCTCTTACCTTCACAGCAGTGCCTTTTAGTTATGAATATCTTCAGCGTCCTGCCCTGGGAGTACTTCCCCTATTTCCCATGGCCCTCCTTCTAAATGGTCCTTTACACGCTGCCACCACCCTCTCATCCCCAGGCCCCTTCCTCAAGTCTCACAGGTCCTTGGTGAGATGGAGGCACTTCCAAACAGGAGCCATGATGTGATTTGGTAAGCCATTGGGAGACATTCCCCGGCAGTGTGGCTTCTGCTTCTGAGGAGCAAATGGAAAAGAAGTGTAAGGGAGGCAATTTTATAGATTAGAGAAAGTCCGCAGAAGGCAGCTTTCCCAGCTTTTACTTTTCTTGGCACTGCTTCCTCTCTAGCCTCTGACTTATCAGCACCTTAAAAGATTGATGTTTCTACCATTCCCACTCCTCCATAAAAACTGCCAAATACTTAACTGCAAAACCTGTTAAGTATTTTCTTTTTTAAATTTTATTTTATTTTATTTATTTATGATAGGCACACAGTGAGAGAGAGAGAGAGAGAGGCAGAGACACAGGCAGAGGGAGAAGCAGGCTCCATGCACCGGGAGCTCGATGTGGGATTCAATCCCGGGTCTCCAGGATCGCGCCCTGGGCCAAAGGCAGGCGCTAAACCGCTGCGCCACCCAGGGATCCCTGTTAAGTATTTTCTGTTCACCTTCCTTAGCATTCAGTTCAAAGGACTTGCATTTGCTTCCTGAAAATCCTGCCTCATGGGATAACATCTCCTTGTTCTTCCTGCCTCTGTGATCTTCCCCCATAGGCACTCCCTCCTCCAACAGGTTGGGGTGATGATGGTATTACCCAGAGTCTCTCTGTCTTCTCTTCAACCCTCTGAGATAACATGTATTCTGGGTACTCTCATCCCATGTCCATGGCTTTGATTACCATCATTATGCCTGATTATCAAGTTGACATCTTAGTAAATGTAAACTTTACCCAGTTTCAGCTTTTCTATAAATTCTAGACTTTTACAGTGTGGTGCCACCCCATATTATAGAGCCTAAAGCAAAAGAAAAATCAGTAATACAGTTCCTGTATTTATTTAAAACTTTGATATTTTGTTCATCATAAATTTGTTGTATTATTTCTTAAGACTTTGAGAGAGAGACAGAGAGAGACAGAGAACACGAGCCAGGGGAGGCGCAGAAGGAGAAGAAGCAGACTCCTCACTGAATAGGGAGCTCAATGCAGGGTTCAATCCCAGGGCCCTGAGATCATGACCTGAGCTGAAGGCAGACACTTAACCAACTGAGCCATCCAGGTGCCCTGCATTATTTTTATTTTTTTAAATGTTGCATCAAAATCTTTATTTTGATTCCTGAAGAATTTGGTGCTCCCTTAAATGTTGCACTTGAGACAAGGAAAGCACTGGTCTCATGCACATGACTGGCCACCAGACATCTCCAGTAGGATGGCTCATGGCACACAGGCACCTCCAACTTAGCATGTCAGAAAGTAAGCCTGTCACCTCCCATGCTCACTTTAACTACCCCCCCCCCATTCCTCTGTTCTGAAGTCCAGTACTTGAGAGTACCATCTAAGCTAGAAACTCCTACTCCTGCCTTTCCAGCAACTGCCAAGTGCTGTTAATTCTCTTAAATGTCTCTTGCACCTAACTCCCCACTTTCACTTTGCTTCACAGCCTGACTCAGGCCTTCCCTACCACTATCTGGATAACTGAAGCTGTCTTCTGACTGTCCACTGCAGACCAACTTGTGTCCTATCTGACTTCTCTACTTAAAAACCTTTGCAGGGGGATCCCTGGGTGGCTCAGCGGTTTGGCGCCTGCCTTTGGCCCAGGATCGAATCCCACGTCGGGCTCCCTGCATGGAGCTTGCTTCTCCCTCTGCCTGTGTCTCTGCCTTTCTCTGTCTCTCTCTATCATGAACAAATAAATAAATAAATCTTTAAAAAAAAAAAAAAAAAAAAAAAACCTTTGCAGGGAGGAGAGGCAGAGGGAAGGAAGAGAGAGAACCTCAAGCAGGCTCCATGGAGCCTGAGGTGGACCTCGATCTCACAACTCTGAGATGATGACCTGAACCAAAATCAATAGTCAGATGATGATTAACCGGACTGCGCCACCTAGGTGCCCCATCAACTGTACATTTTTAAATGGCAAAATTTATGTTATGTATATTTTACCATAATTCAACAAACACCTGTATTGGTCCTACCAGTCTTTGTCCTTCTATCCTCTCGATTTTAATCCCTCCACTGCTCCCCCACCGCCACCCCTTCTTCTGCTGGTCCCACAGGGCACTTCTGTACCTTTGGAAACTTGCTGAGAGCTCTCAATAGCCCTCCCCTGGGAATTCCTGGGAAAACAAATCTCTGGCAAACTTCTATTCCCCTTTCAACACCTAGCCCAACCATCACTTCTCTGGTGAAGCCCAAGTAGTTCACTGCCCTCCTCTACATCCCAAAACCATTTTGTTCCTTCCCAGTGAAGCCCTTATTACATGGTGGACTCTGTGAGGCAGAAGGCTCTCTTAGTCACATGTGTTTCCTAGTGCAGAGTAGATGCTCAATATCTGAATGAGTAACCTCATGTACTTACATCCCCAGTCCCAACTTGTTCAACTGTTTTTTGAGGGTGTCCCTTTCTTCTTTTACCTATTTTAGCCATCAGTTACAAGACCAAAGCTTTCCACTGGGGAACCTTGCAGAACCCCCCCTAACAAGCCCCCTATTTCCCCATTCACTTTCTTGTTCACTCAGGTTACCACTGAAGTAGATCCTCGTGGGGTGCTTTGCGGCACTACAGGCTCGGGGTCAGATGAGCTCTCGCTTGGGGCCTCACTTTCATCTCCATCTTCAGCCTCGACCTGGAGAACAAAGTCTTCATCCCGTGCAGTATCATCCTCCTCTTCGCCACCTTGACAGGCTGCCTGCTGCCGGGTTTTCTTCGGTTTGGCAGGGCTGCTCACCTTGGGGCTCTCAGGACAGGACACTGGAGCAGGTAGTGCTGTTGAGAGCTCTTCAGCCAGTTCCTGAAGGTACAGAAGCGCCCTGCGGGACAGGGCAGAGTCAGAGCCACATTCACAAACACTTAACTGAGAGCCCACCTTTCCAGACACTTGGCTGATTCTTATCTCCTTGGGTCCTCCCAGTGACCCAGCGAAGCAGCTATTAATTTCCCTTCCCCTTTTGATAAAGAACCAGAAATCTAGGGAAGTTAAGGGAGTTGGCCAAGACAGGACTCAGATTATGTATGTGGAATCTGAACCCAGGTCGGCCAACTCCAAGTCCAAGGCACTTTCACGCTACCAGTCAGAGATCAGTAAGAGCCCAGGGAAGAATAGAAGGGCACACAGAGACCAATATATACTGGACAGGAAAATGCAACAAAGACCTGGAGGAAACTGAAAATGTGAGAGGATATAAAGCACAGAAGACAATCTCCTAGACAGACAAACTCAGCAACAGATAACTAAGTTGCTGTGGTAAGAGCTAGAAGATGGCTCAAGTCCCCAGAACCCTCCCACTTACCTGACATCTCGTCACAGCCTTTGAACTCTCCAACATCTGCCCCCCGCAACCCCCTCCACCGAGCTGCACCCCACAATCCTTACACTTGGGCAGCCCTTCGACGGGGTCGTTCTCCCGGAGGGGTCTCAAAGTCCTCAGGGGGCCTCTTTGGAGGTGGAGATTCTGGATGTTCTAGGTCTTTGGACAACTTCAGTAGTAGCAGCTCTGCCTTGGACCTTCGACCTCGTTTCTTAGGCATGGGGGTAGACAGAGGGTTGGATTGATCTAAGAGACCAGGAACCAGAGGGGCTGATGGAGGATTAGGTTGTTGGGGCCTTTTGGGGCCTTTCCGTGTGCTACCACCTCTCTTCCGGCCAGGCTTTGAGGCCCTAGGCTTTGAGACCTTTGACATCTCTGAAGAAAGATCTGTAGAGAAGAAGAATATGGGTCTATGAGATGGGACCAGATCTCAAACCTCTTTGGAATAGATTATACCATACCCAGCTTGATAAGATCCTGTGGTTTCACCCTGTTTTCTTTCATCTTAATGTAAAAATGGGGAGATAAAAAGAGGAAGGGACAAGGTACATATACCTTGCTGTTCAAGTCTGGAGAGGCTTTCTTGTTCTTGAGGGAGCCTTCTCTCATCAAGAGAATCCTCAAATCCAGTCAAAGGTGTAGGTAAAGACATCTCTATGGAAGCTTCAGCACTAGTTGTTTCTGAAGAGGCCTTGACATCAAGCTGGTTTAGCACCTCTTGTCCAGGAGAGTCTACCACAGTCATGTTCCCCACGGGGCCGGCCTCCCCCAGAGCAACACAGCCGACCCCGTAGGTATCCATCAGCACCCCCTAAAATGGCTGCCCCTGCATAGAGACATACACATAAGTAGAAGCAAAAGCTATTTGCACTGGCTCAGATTTTCTACTTTCCTATCTTTTCTCCTCCCATCTCACCCGCTGCCCAGCTCCCAACCAGAAACCTAAGCTCCTTGATCATTCATTCATTTAACAACAATTACTAAACATCTTCTATGTTAGGCACTATTCTAAGAATTGGTAATTTGACAATAAACAAAACAGACAAGGTCCCTGCCCTCATGGAGTTTGCACACTAGAAGAGCTAGCAATAAACAGATAATAAGAAAGCTACCATTTGTTTATTAAATGCTTACTATGTACTAAGCATTATATTCTTCAGCCAATTTAATTTAAAGCTCTTAAGTTGGGATCCCTGGGTGGCACAGCGGTTTAGCGCCTGCCTTTGGCCCAGGGCGTGATCCTGGAGACCCGGGATCGAATCCCATGTCGGGCTCCCGGTGCATGGAGCCTGCTTCTCCCTCTGCCTGTGTCTCTGCCTCTCTCTCTCTCTCTCTCTGTGTGTGACTATCATAAAAAAAAAAAAATTAAATAATAAAAAAAATAAAAAATAAAGCTCTTAAGTTTTCTTGTAAGACTAATGCAGTGAATGAGCCATTATGCAACCTTTTCCCTAAAAACCCAATGATATGAATCACCCTCTTCCCCTCAAGAAATAAAAAAAGAGAGAAAAAAATCTTCCCCGAATTCTTAAACTTCCTAGGAGTAGACTACAAGGAACAGATGCCAGATATATAAAATTTAGACCAAACTGAAGGAGGATACCTAGAGCTAACACCCATCTTTGTGAATACTAGTCAAGGAAAATATTTATTTAATAAGAGTTCTCTAGTGCCCTGCCGTTAATCTTTCACCTGAATAGGGGAGGTAGATGGCTATGAGATAATTAAAGAACATCCTACTACATTAAGAGACCTTTCCCACATTGAAAAATGAACTAAAAAACTGTCATGAACCTTCATTTTTATTTTTTAATTTACTTGAGAGAGACAGAGACAGGACACCAGTACATGCACGCAAGTGGGGAGGGGCAGAGGGAAAGTCTCAAGCATACTCTCGCTGAGTGCAAACCCCAAAGCAGAGCCCAAATCGGGGCCAATTCCACAACCCTGAGATCATTACCTAAGCCAAAACCATGAGTCAGTCGTTTAACCAACTGAGTAACCCAGGAGCCCCCCTTCATTTTTTTTCAAACCCAGAAAATCATTGTACAACCATGAGCCAAAGTAAACTGACAGAGATAAACAGAAACACTGATCACCAAACCAAAAAGCTGAGCAATACACAACCCTGCAAAAGCCCAGTTTTTGGCCAGAATAACCTGCCTGTCTATGACAAAGAAGGAGAAAATACTCAAATCCCAGGAGGGAATCCCCTATAGGTCTGTATATGTCTTAAGGATAAATAAATCATTAGCCTTGGTGGTAAAGTGTGTTAATACAGATACCATAAGAAATATCATATAAGGGTGCCTGGGTGGCTCAGTCAGTAAACATCTGCCTTTGGCTCAGGTCATGATCCCAGAGTCCTGGGATCAAGCCGCACATCAAACTCCCTGCTCAGCAAGGAGTCTGCTTTTCCCTCTCCCTCTGCCTGCCACTCCCCCTGCTTGTGTTCTCTCTGTGTCAAATAAACAAACAAACAAACAAACAAATACATAAATAAATAAATTCTTTTAAGAGAGAGAGAGAGATCATACAAATTAAACTTCCCAACTATCTCTCCTAAAGAAGCTATAATCTAAATATATTATAAACTATAACAACAGCCCAATCCTCTAACTCAGGTACAAAGGAACATTGTGCTAAAGACACACTGTTAGAATGCCAAAGTAACTAGAGGTCAATGAGAATCTACCTACCTTGTTCTTTGGTAAATAACAAGCCCTGAGAGAACTACTCCATTCAGAATCAGTAACAAACAAAACGGATCCACCTGAAATATATGCATAGACACTACAAAAAGAAAAAAAAGGAAACAAACAACAAAAAAAGATGAAATGTATTCTGTCAAAGCCTCCAGAAAACAGAAGAAAATCTGCAACAAAACTTCTATACTTTAAAAAAAAAAAAAAAAACAAAAACCTCAAATCCAAAGATACCGTGGAATCTAGGAAATAAGAGATCAAAGAAAACAAAGTGAAAAGGGAGCAGTCATAAGGAAAGAAACTGAATAAACAAAATCATCATGAAATGAAATGAAAACTAGAGGAGAGGCAAATGTTGAAACTCTACTGCTGAAAAGAGGTAAAAGTGGTTAGTGAGATGATGTGGATGGAAAAGAAGAAGGAGGGAGCCAACATATGAATAATTGATGATCCCAATGAAGAGAGATGAAAAATGAGAACAGAAGTGTTAAAGTGTTAAAAAACAAAAGGAGAAAATTTCCTGAAATAAAAAATACTTTCCCGAAATAAAGGAAGACCCCAGTCTAAAAGGGAAGCAAAAATCAATAAAGAATCACCAAGACCAAGAAATACTCGAGTGAAGATACTAAATTTCTCCAACAAAAAGAAAAATAAAAATCAAGTCATCCTCAGAGTTTTCAGAAACATATGATGCCAGAAGTTAAAAACACTAAGAGGGTCAAGAGAATTTTTTTTTTTAAGATTTTATTTATTGATTTGAGAGAGAGAGAGAGAGAGAGAACCAGTGGGGGAGAGGCAGAGGGATAAGTAGACTTCCCACTGAATGCATAGCCTGATGTGGGGCTCCCAGGACCCGAGATCATGACCTGAGGCAAAATTAGCCACTTAACCAACTGAGCCACCCAGGGACCCCAAGAAAATTCTTTATTTAACTGAGACACTGTTCACATAAAGGCAACAGGATAATATTCTCAATATGCAAGTTTCTAGGAATTAAAAAACTTACACACCCTTAGTTTAAAAAATCCCCTTGAAGACCTACTTTAGCCAATTAAAGATAAATCAATATGAAGAACTTCCTAATGGAGAAGCTGTAGTATAAAGACTGGCAGTATACATTTAGTCCAGTGACACATGACCTGAGTTTAAACAACTGTGGTAACTACCACTATAAAATAGATTGTAATTTAAAATTCTGAAAGTCAAATTTTTTACATTTTGCAATGTAAAAAGTGCTATTATTCTGACTGTAGTAGATGAAGACAAAGAAGTATCCTGATTTTGCTTGTAAGGTTGATAAATGGAAAAATAAAGGTTTATTAATACCATTTAATTAAACATTAAAAGTAGTCTACTATATTGCTTCCAAAATACCTAGCAGCCATAGGAACCAGAAGGAATTGCTTTAAAGGCTACAAAGTAAGAGACTGAAAATAAAAGAAACACAAAGAAAAGAAAAAAACCTACAAAGATGACAAAAGATAAAGATATAGAACAACAACCAAAGATCAACTCATCCATTAAAAACTATAGGCTCTCAAAGATATGCCTAAACAAAGGAACTCAAAGAGCTGAAAGTCAAAAGACACATAAAAAATATACAGGGCAAATGCAGACAAAGAAAAGAGTTTTGTTGGTAATAGCAAAGTTGAATTCAGGGGATAAAGTACAAAAAGGGATAAAAAGGGAATACTTTAAAATAAATAAAATTTCAAATTATATAAAAGATAAATGTCATGAACTGTTAGATATCAAATGACATAGCATCAAAATAAGGCAAAATCTTCAGGAAATCCAAGAACTGTTTTTTTAAGATTTTATTTTATTAATTAATTAATTAATTAATTTATTAATTTGAGACACAGAGAGAGAGAGAGAGAGGCAGAGACACAGGCAGAGGGAGAAGCAGGCTCTATGCAGGGAGCCCGACGTGGGACTTGATCCTGGGTCTCTAGGATCAGGCCCTGGGCTGAAGGCGGCACTAAATCGCTGGGCTACCCGGGCTGCCCTAAGATTTTATTTTTATTTATTCATGAGAGACACCGAGATAGAGGCAGAGACACAGGCAGAGGAAGAAGCAGGCTTCCCACAGGGACCTCAATGTGGGATTCAATTCCCGGACCCTGGGATTGAGTCCCACATCATGACCTGAACTGAAGGCAGATGCTAAACCACTGAACCACCCAAGTGTCCCCCAAGAACCACTTCTTTTAATCACTAACAGATCACATAGATAAGGACCAAGAAGACATGAATGATTATTTTATAATTATAATAAATGATTATCGAGGTTCAGTTGCATAGAATAGAATCCTCTCTAGACCAGCTAAAAGGGACTTATTATATAGGGTATTACATGGTTCACATAAGTGGTTCCTAAAGTGTGGTCTTGGCAGCATCAGCATCACTTGGAAATTTGTTAAAATGCTAATTTTCAGTCCTATCACAGACCTACTGAATCTAAACTCTAGGGTGAGGCCAGCACTTCGTGTTCTCAAAACCCTTTAGATTATTTGGATGGATGCACATGCAAGCTTGAGAACTACCCACATGCAGGATCACTGCGACGGGGGTGGGGGTGAGGGACAGTTTAGGAACAAGTGCTTGTCAAAATGGGAAATTGTCTGGCAGCTGCTGGTTCAAGAACAGGGCTTCTCCTCCTACACTACGATGTGGAGGCCCCTGTGACAGCTGATGGTTCCAGGAACTGCCTCTGCATTGATCAGAAAGTGACCTGACTAAACAGGGAAGACCCTTCTCTGGTTCCCAGATCCAGAATCATACCTCTGCCACAATCTGTACCAGCAAATTGTATGTCTCCTGGCCTGCCTCCTATCTAAACTTGGTCCAAATTTGAGTTCTCCAAAAGCACATTTGATTGGCAAGACCTAAATTATATTCAGAATCTTGGATGGAAAAAAAAATTCCAGGAATTGAAATTTCTAGCTTTCCAGGCTCTCAAATGGAGCTTTGTCCTTCACTCACATCCCACTACCCCATGGTAGAAAGTGGGATCAATGTCTTGTCAATTCCTCTCCAATGCTACTTGTAGACCAACAGGCCTCCCTACCTTGTAAAAACTGTTCCTTTGAAGCTTGTAACATTCAGCTAAACCATTGCTACTCACTCGCTGCCATACATTGGACCTTGTCATCTCACAAAACCTTTTAACTTCCAAAATCACAAAGACATCCCACTATCTGATCACAACCTCCATCATAATGGCTCAACTACTATCACTGAATCTATTCTTCAACCGTATCAAGCCACCATCCATTGATCTCTCCCAATTTCTCCCTGTGTTGGCCACATCCTATCTAGCTTGGATTCTTTTATTTTAATCAGACTTTTGTTGATAGTATAAAGTTCTTTTCTTGTCTTTTTATTCCACAGGACTGGCAACATTTAAGTCCTGGATGAACCAACCATCCTTTTTCTCTGTGTGCATATAAGTTGCCAGAGCGCTAGCAATTACACATTCTCTCTAATCAGGCCCTATGCTCCCTTTCCTCCAACATGATCCCCTGGTTCTCAGCAGATGATTTTGCCTCTGGTTTCTAAAACAAAACCCAAAGCCATTAGGTGGGACATACTTCAATGTCTGGTCAAGTAGCCTAACATTCCCTGCATCTGAACCCCTCAGTTACTTCCAATTGTGTTCTAGCTCTATTCCCCCACCTTCTAAGGGCACTGAAATTATTTAACCTTTTCCTTTACATTGGCTATTTCCCAACTGCATTTAAATGTCTCTAATTCTCATCTTAACAGACATACAACAATCCTTCAACCCATATTCTTCCTGCCTCTCACAGTCAAACTTTTAATGAGTTGTCTGCCCTTGATGTTTTAATTTCCCTACTTCATTTAGACTAGGATATTGCCCTCCAACTCATCAAAGAAATTAAAGTCATCAATAATTGCTGTGTCAACTAATGCAATGGATGCTTCTGAGTCTCGTTTAACTTGATCTCTCAGCAGCACCCACACTACAGACCACACCTTTCTTGAGACATTTTTTCTTGAGAAGAAATTCAAGTGCAATAAAGTTTCAGATTTTGGCAAAATTTCCTCAGTCTTTTACAGCTGTCTTACACCTATTTGGCAGCTTCTTTGTTTCTTTGCAAATGTACTTCTTTTTTCTTTCCAAGCTTTCAACTTACTTTGCTTTCTTTTCTTTTTGAGGATTTTTTTTTAATTAAAAAAACATTTTTTTTAAAGAATTTATTTACTCATGAGAGACACAGAGAGAGAGCAGAGACACAGGCAGAGGGGAAGTAGGCTCCATGCAGGAAGCCTGATGCAGGACTTGATCCGGAGACCCCGGGATCATACCCTGAGCCGAAGGCAGACAGATGCCCAAACACGGAGCCACCCAGGCATCCCTTTGAGGATTGTTTTTATAAAAATTTTAGTTGACACAAAATACTTGTAAACACACATAGAATATAACAAATAGCAATAAAGCACCTGTTTATCTGCCACATTTCAACTTAGCTTTAATAGCAACAACTCTTTCATACTCAATTTCTTTAGGATTTAAATATATATATAAATTATCTGACATAAAAAATGTTGAGAACCATCACAAATGACTCTTAGCAGGCACTGAACTCAACCAGTGGGAATAGAATGAGCAGGCCTATTGGAGAAAAGTCTATAGGCTTCAAGCATTCAGTGTGCATGGGCATCTGTCTGTATGCTTCACAGAGGAAACAGAGAAACGGTTAACACCGGAAGCTAGTTAAATAGGTATCAATTAAGAGAACGTCTACGTATGTCTTAAAGATTTTCCACATCAGTACACTTACATATATCTCATTCTTCTTGGTTACTATCCAGTGTTCCATAGAATTATAGTTCATTTGGATATTCTCCATTTGATGGACAACTGAATCACAACACTATTACAAATACTGCTATAAATATTTTAGTAGAGAACTCTCCATTAATGAGAAATTATTTTCTGGACTAATGATCTGACATGGAATTATCGTTAGTGGTTGAAGGATATACACATTTCAAAATTTAATAGATACTGAAAACAGCTCACCAAAACAAAAAACAATTTATAATCCCACTATAACCATTTATCAGTACTCATTTTACCACACCATTGCCAATCTTTAATTTTTGCCAATCTGATGAAGGAATGCTTTCTTATTTTATTTTTTTGGATTATCCTGATGATTGAGGTTAGCAACTTCTTTTTATCTTTTGTGTACGTGTATATATATATATATATGTATGTATTTTTTTTTTTTTAAAGATTTGAGAAAGAGAGACCGCAATCAGGAGCGGGAGAGGGAGAGAGAATCTCAAGCCAACTCCTTGCTCAATGTGGAGTCCCACACAGGGCTTGATCTCACTACAGTCAGATCAGCGCCTGAGCTGAAACCAAGAGTCTGTCACTAAACCAACTGTGCCACTCAGGTGCCCTGGACATCTGTATCTTTTTATAATTGCCCATACAAATGATTTGCCCTCACCTCTATAGGACAAATCAATCTTTTCTCTATTGATCTGTGGAGATATTTATGTTGCAAAAACTTTGTTTCTACGTTTTTTGTTTTGTTTTGTTTTTGTTTTTTAAAGAGGGCAGCCGCGGTGGCTCAGCGGTTTAGCGCCACCTTCAGCCTGGGGTGTGGTCCTGGAGACCTGGGATGGAGTCCCACCGGGTTCCCTGCATGGAGCCTGCTTCTCTCTCTCTCTCTCTCTCTCTCTCTCTCATGAATAAATAAAATCCTAAAAAAACAAAACAAAACAAAACAAAACAAAAAAACAGGGGGGATGCCTGGGGGGCTCAGTGGTTGAGCATCTGCCTTTGGCTCAGGGCGTGATCCTGGAGTCCCGGAATCGAGTGTCAAGTTCCGCATGGGGCTCCCTGCATGAAACCTGCTTCTCCCTCTGCCTGTCTCTCATGAATAAATAAAATCTTAAAAAAAAAAAAAAAAGAGTTCAACATTTAACCGACTGAGCCACCCAGATGACTTTGTTTCTTTATTTTTTTTTTTGAAGACTTTATTTATTTATTCATGAGACAGAGAGAGGCAGAGACACAGGCAGAGGGAGAAGCAGGCTCCTTGTGTGGAGCCCGATGTGGAGCTCCATCCCAGGATCCCCAGGGATCACAACCTGAGCCAAAGGCAGACGCTTAACCACTGAGCCACCCAAGTACCCCCGTTTCTTTTTTTCTTTTTTTTTTTCTTTTTTAGTTATTTATGATAGTCACAGAAAGAGAGAGAGAGAGGCTGAGACACAGGCAGAGGGAGAAGCAGGCTCCATGCACCGGGAGCCCGACGTGGGATCCCTCCCTGTTTCTTTTTTAAAAACTTTGTTTAAGGGGATCCCTGGGTGGCGCAGCGGTTTAGCGCCTGCCTTTGGCCCAGGGCGCTATCCTGGAGACCCGGGATCGAATCCCACGTCGGGCTCCCGGCATGGAGCCTGCTTCTCCCTCTGCCTGTGTCTCTGCCTCTCTCTCTCTCTCTGTGACTATTGTAAATAAATAAAAATTAAAAAAAAAAAAAAAAAAAAACTTTGTTTATAACATTTCTTGCTAAACTGAAATTTTACTTTCCAAGTTAAATTCCTCAATCTTTTCCCTTACAAATTGTTTTGGGTCTTAAAAAGACATTTCCTACCCTGCTGATATATACATACCCTATTTTATTTTCTTCTAATACTTTTTCTAGTTTTGAATCTTAAATGTAGCTCTTTAGTCCATGTGGCTTTTTTTTTTTTTTTAAGATTTTATTTATTTATTCATGAGAAAAACAGAGAGAGGCAGAGACACAGGCAGAGGGAGAAGCAGGTTCCATGCAGGAAGACATGGGACTCGATCCTGGGTCTCCCAAGATCACGCCCTGGGCTGAACGGGTCACTAAACCGCTGAGCCACCAGGGCTGCCCAGTCCATGTGGAATTCTAAGAGATATGAGTATTTACTTACTTCATCTTTACCTCACTTGAAAATTTCATGACTTGCCTGATTCACTACTGAATCCAGAATCTGGTACATATTAAGTGCAATAATTAAACTTTGTTGATTTAATGACTAACTTCTCAAGCTGCAAAAAATCCGTTGAAGGATTCACTTCTGCAGAATGCAGTAGCGGAGTATGGTGGTTAATTTCCTTTTATGATTTCACAATGCAAACTCTAGACTCAAGTAAAGAAAGGATGTTTAATAATCTGTGCTAGAATTTATAAAAGTTTACGTTTGCACCTCAACTTGTTTGGAATACTGCTTCAAGGCTGCCAGGATTTCCCTAGTTAAGGAAAATAGTTAACACAGTTCCTCAAGTATGGAATTACTTTAAACACACTGTTTGGTCTAATACACTGTTTCCCAAAGTGTTCCTATGGTACAGCTGGTGGTACGTACGACGATTTTAGTGATACAAAAATGAACGATTTTATTAGACCTTTTATATTTTAACTTTAACTTTTATTTTAACTCTAGTCCTTGGGGCGCCTGGGTGGCTCAGCCTGAGTCTCGATTTCTTCTCAGGTTGGGATCTCAGGGTCGTGAGACCGAGCTCAGGAATCCGGCTCCCCGCTGGGCTTGGAGCCAGTTTAAGATTCCCTCCTCCCCGGCCCATCCCCCACCCCCTCCGCGCGCGCGCGCGCTCTCTCAAAACAAAACAAAAGCCAAAAAAAACTCTAGCCCATGAAACCCATGGTTTCATCTATCTTGCTTAGATTGAGATTAAGGCACTTAAACTTGAAAAACAAACCAGTTTAAAGAAAACTACTAAGAAAATAATAGCACATTAGATAAGAAGGGATGGCAAAAAGTATTCAAACAACAGGAATGGCCGAAGATTAACAATACGCCGCTAGGGCGAAGAGGCTTCGCCGTACACTACACTTCTCTAACAAAGTGAGTTACTACGGGTGGGGCTGAAGTGGCCACCTCTGCCTGCCCCAGTAGACAGCCAACTTGCCGCGGGATAAAAGCACTAGAAGGGAAACATAACTGGCCCTTGGCTGCGCCAATGGGGTTGCAGCGCGCGGGGCACAACCCCGGGGTTAGAGGAGCCTCACGGAGGAAGTGGCTGGGACACAGCAGGATGAGGAGACTAACCCGCTACCCCTCCAGCAGGGACAGCCTGCCCTTCCTCCGTAATGGGCGTGGGGGCAGCTTCCACCACTAGTCTGTGCTGGGAGCGAGCCCTGAGTTTTCTGAGGCTCAGGACTACGGAGGTTCGCGGAGTCCGAGAGATGCAATGTAAGCAGCGCCGCGGCCCGGACACAGGATGCCGTGCTACCCGCACAGCATCGAGGAAGAAGGCAAGAGCCGTGGTTAGGAGGGATGAGGGATGTCCGGTTGCACTACAGGGAAGGAGGTGGGGAGTGTGATGGTTTCTGTAGCAGTGCGGGGACTGGAGGTCGCGATGCTGTGCAGAGAGGGAACAGCGGAGCCAAGAGCTAGTTCCCAATATCTTAGTGCTATGGGAAAAGGAGGAGGAGGAGTAATCGTGGGGCCCCCGCACACCCCGCTGCGGTACACTCACCCTCACCAAAGTCCTTCCGGAAGTCCAAGTTCGAAGATGGCGCCGTCTATCTAGTCGCGGTTTTATGACGAAATCTGGTAGCTACTCTTTATTGACCCCTCCCCCCCACTCCTCTACCCGTGCCTCCAGTGCACAAGGTAAACACGTGAGCGTGGTGGGGACTTTGTGCCCGAAGACGTTTTCTCAGACTATGTATTCCATAATGCAGTGCGGCGAGAGTCCCGCGCCCTTTCGAGCGATCGAGGCTCCCGGCCTTTAGCCGCGCCGGAGACGCTGCGTGGCCTTCTGGGAATTGCAGTGTCAAGAAAGCAAGATTGACGCCTGCGCGGTGACGGTCGTCGCGCCCCGCGGGTTCCCACGGGGCCTGTACGCGAGCCTCGAGTTTGCGGCGCGCCCAGGCCTTGCCGCCGCTCCCGAGCGCTGAAGCCTGCCTAATGGTCAAGATTACCGGCCATGTAGCGGGCAGGGCCGGGCTGGACTGAGAGTAACTACCTCGGCACGGTCAGAGCCGAGAACTCAGACTGAGAGGCGGAGGGAGGATGGCTTGGGCCTCCACCGAGGGCAGCCATTCATGAAGTCCGGGACGGGTGCTCCAAAGACAAAAAGGGGCCTGGGGAAAGGACAGAGGGAAACCAGTAGGAAAGCCTGGCGTGGGCACGCTCGCTGCACTCTTCTGAGCCTCAGGCTTGGCCCGTGGCCTTGTTTGGGCACAGGCCTTCCCCGGTCCCTCCCGGAGAGATGGGATGCCAGTGAACAAAGAAAGAACGTAACAAATCTCTGCCCTTTCCTGAGACATTGAAAGCCATTTAAGTTTTACAGGTCTCAGCATACTAACTAGAAGAGTTCAAGATGTATAAATAGGGACAGGAAAGACTGGAGTAAACCAGTCTTTGTCTTCCCGAAGAATCCCCCCTATTAAATTTCTTTAGTTACACAAAACATTTGAGAAAAACGTGGGAGGAGCTAGCTAAGACTTAAAAAAAAAAAAAAAAAAGCCTGAGTTAAGGGACTCACCCCAACTCCCTTAGCGAACTTAGGCTGTGCCTAACTTAGGTTGTGCCAGGGCTTAGGACCAGCTTTGTGAGAACACAAAATTGGGTGAGGCTCAGGCAGCAGTTCCCCTAATCCGTACTATCTTAAATGCTTGTCTGATGGGACAGCTCTAGGAAATGTCTCTCTACTCCTGTTGCCTCAGATCAGGCCATCTTTGACTTAACTGCAAAATCTTTTATATTACTTGTATTCACTTTTGGAATAAGATATTCACGTGGCTCAAAATTCAAAGGATACATAGGGTATAAAGTAGAGATTCCCTTCTACCTGTCTCCACATGCACACAATCAGTTCCTAGTTACAGATGCAAGATATTTTATTTATACACATATGAAATGCATATATATCTTTACCATTTTAATTCAAACAATGAATACACACACTGTCCTGCATCTGCCTTCTTTTAACTGAGTGTACCTTGGAGATTGTCCTTTTTTTGGTATTAAAACCTTCCTCAGGGTAGTCCTGGTGGCTCAGTGATTTAGTGCCGCCTTCCGCCAAGGGCCTGATCCTGGAGACCCGGGATCGAGTCCCATGCCCGGCTCCATGCATGGAGCCTGCTTCGCCCTCTGCCTGTGTCTCTGCCTCTTTCTGTGTGTCTCATGAATAAATAAGTAAAATCTTAAAAAAACAAAACAAAACAAAAAAAAAAACCTTCCTCATTCTTTATTATGGCTGCTTAGTAATGATATAAATGTAGGAAATAGTTGACCCTTGAACACAGGGGTCAGGGGTGCTAACCCCTTTGCAGTGGAAAATCTCTCCCCAAATACCTTCCTGAATAGCCTGCTGTTGGCTGGAAGCCTATAAACTGTCAATACATATATATATTTTTAATATTTTTATTTTTAATTTTTTTTATTTATGATAGTCATACAGAGAGAGAGAGAGAGAGGCACAGACACAGGCAGAGGAAGAAGCAGGCTCCATGCACCAGGAGGCCGACGTGGGATTCGATCCCGGGTCTCCAGGATCACGCCCTGGGCCAAAGGCAGGCGCCAAACCGCTGCGCCACCCAGGGATCCCTCAATACATATTTTGTATGTCAATATGTATTATATACTGTTGTTCTTACAGTAAGCTAGAGAAAGGAAAATGTTAAAATCATAAGGAGAAAATACATTTACAGTACCGTAGCATAACAACAACAAATCGGTGGACCCACACAGTTCAAACCCATGTTGTTTAAGGGTCAACTATAATTTGAGTTAGTCCCTTGTTCTTATTAATGGGTATTTAGGTGGTTTCTAATCTTTTGCAATTGTAAACAATTCTGCTCCAAATAACCTGTTACTTCAAATGTGTAATCTATGGGTAGAAAGCATTATAAATTTCTGGAGGCAGAGTTGCTGGACCAAAGCTTTGATGCATTTATAATTTTGATTGACAAGCAATCTTTCTATTGATCTGTTTCTCTGCCTCTAATCTCTACCAGTTCTTTCTAAAGTATAGAGCTGACCCTGTGGATCCTCTGATTAATTTTAATGATTAATATGCTCAATAACTTAACCCATGAGCTGATAAATCTTTTTTTTTTTTTAAGAGAAAGCCAACTATTCTATAACTACACATTGTATGACACTGGAAGTAGTGATCAGTTCCTGTAAACTAGCAAATAAAAGGAAAGAAACATTTATCCCATCTTTCCAGTATGAACTATAATTCAGAATATTTAGAAGGAATTTTTTATTTTTTATTTTATTTTTTTTAAAGCAACTTTTTTTAATTTTTATTTATTTATGATAGTCACACACAGAGAGAGAGAGAGAGAGGCAGAGACACAGGCAGAGGGAGAAGCAGGCTCCATGCAACGGGAGCCCAACATGGGATTCGATCCCGGGTCTCCAGGATCGCGCCCTGGGCCAAAGGCAGGCGCCAAACCGCTGCGCCACCCAGGGATCCCAGAAGGAATTCTTTTTAGAAGATTATCAGCTAGCAACTTTGAAAAGAATCCTAGAATTAGGGGAAAAAATAATTTTGCATCCCCTAATGAAATAATCGAAGCAGTAACCACCAGTGAATGAAACCACTAAATGAAAACTTGAGAAAATTTAAAATGTCAAACTTTAAAACTGGATCCACTCAAAACTAAACAGCTATTATTTGCCTCCTGATGTGACCCTATATGAAATGCAACACCACTTATGAAGTATTCTTGCCCAAAAAGTTGAATGGAAATAGAGGGGTTAGAGGAATGAGTTAATTGACACCACATGGAAGCCAAAAGTCAAATCCAGTGGAGAACATTTTATAAGACAACCTTATTTCCGGAACAAATCTTGTCTGAGAACAGAAGGGAGGTTGAGGAGACTACTTCTGATTACAATAAATTGAATACCTGCTAACCAAATGTAATGTACAGATTTGTTTGGATCCTAATTCAAACAAACCAACTGTAAAAAAGCCAGTTTTTGAGACAATCAAGGAAATTTGATTATGGATTGAGCAATACCAAGAATTTAATAGGTATAACAACACAGTAAATGTCTGTATTTCTTACAGACACATACTGAGGTTTGTAGGAGTGAAATGATACAATATCTTGGATTTGCTCTAAAGTAACTTCAGCAAGGGAAAAAAAAAAAGGAAATAAAAAGCGAGCACACGTGGCCAATCTTGAAAATTATTGTTTCTGGGACAGGGATTCTTAGCACAGTTCACTCTACTGAGCTGTTTAAAATCGTTCAATAAAACACACACACGTACACACAAAACGGAGGACTCTCCCATTTTTTTAGACTAATCACAATGGTAAAGACTCACAGTCTGGCCCCAACACAACCTACCTTTGCAGCTTTATCTTTCACTCTCCACATAAGCCTCGGGTCTAGCTTCACTATACTGTACTTGACACTTTGGATTGGCCACTCTGTTTCTGAATTCAAGCTATTCCAGCTGCTGATGTGCCTTCCCATTCTTTTCCAACTGGGAAACTCCCTACCCTCATAGGTCACATGCTCCCTATGAAGTCCTCTCCAACCTTAATAGATTTCCTGGTATCATCTATGGTTGCCTCCGAGGAACACTGTTCATATGAATAGTGGAACTTCTCTCGTACTGCAGATACTATCCACTTCCACCATGATGAATGAATATTTGTCAATGGCAGATAGCATAGAAATTAGGGCACAGTCTTAATTTATAATTGCCTGAGATCACAGGCTGCTTGTTACTCTTATCCTGGACAAGTAACTCAGCCTCTCCATGCCTTAGCTGTGTTGCCTTGCCAAGTAGCAACCTCCATGTCTGTTTTCTTATCTGTAAAATTTCTTTTCATGGAGCTACCTTAACCTTCTCAAACAGATCAGAAAGGGATTAAAGCACTTTCCAACACGTAGGTACTCAATGTTAAAAATACTAAATAATATGTAATGACTTAATATATCAATATATTCTAATAATGATTCTAAAATACTAAAAATATCTCTCTGAGAAGAAAAAAAACAAAAATAAAATAAAATAATAGAAAATAAAATAAAATAAAAATATCTAATTTTTCCCTATATTCCTCCTCATACCTAGCTCAGTGTCTGTAACCTAAGTGATGGCGATACTAAAAGACATACAAAGGCACCCGAGTTTCTGAATGCAGGGAGTATGTCATTTATTGACCCTGTGTTCCCCCACTCACTGGTCGCTACTCTTGACTCGTAGAACAACCGGTACAGAACTGCAAGGAATCATCCCCAGCTCCGTGATCACCAGATCCACCAGTTCCGGGGGGGTCACGTCATAGACTAGATTTAACAACCGCAGGGACAGGTGGTTCTGCCAGTTAGCCAGGGCCACATGTTCTCCTCGCTCACAAAGCAGATCATCGGGGTCATCTGCAATGGGAGACATACCCATTTATGTCCTTGTAGAAAACAAGATATAGTTCAACCTTCCCTCCTCCCTCCCAAATCTCAGATCTTTGCCTTCTCTCTGCCCTCCTGGGCTCCTTACCTAGCTCATTAGAGACAAAAGCATCAGTCTGCACACGCTCACAGAACTTGTATGTTTCACAGCAGACCAGCACTGGCACATTATGGGCTCGTGCCACCAGGGCCAGCTGTGCTGTCCCTACCCGTGACATCACAGACCCGTTGGCCAGGAGTGCGTGAGCTCCCAATAGCACCTTAGAAACCTATTTATTTTGAACAGTGGAGAGGGGGAGAAAATGTGATATGTGAGTAATGCACAATCAGGTTCCCCACTTCCTGCCCAGGATAGCAATATTAAGGG